ACAGCGGTACGCCATCTATGGCTTTGCTATCAGTTTGTACGACTTTGTGGAGACGGAGAAGGTAACGCTGTGTGGGCTAAACCATAGGTTGAATTAGAATTTCCCCATTGTGGGATCAATAAAGTATTACATACCTAAAACAAAGCAGCCGTTTTTTGATGATGTGTCTCGAAAAGGTCAGATAATCATATAGCCTTGTGAGTTCTGAGTATGGAGGCAGACAATTGCACCGCTAACTCTAGCCTCCTGGTACAGCAGTATAAACCCCTAATTTTCACATGCTGATACTGGTGAATCACTTTGTTGTCTAGCAGTATAAAGAATTCTCTCATGGGTGCACAGTGTGTTTCTCTGTTTCACCTCGTACTGCAGCCAAATATATTTTAACAAGTGCTTAAGCATCGGCATTGCAGTCTAGGATCACAGCTGAGTTGTATCTCGGCTGGTTTTTGGATGCAAACACTGCAGCCTATAAAGCCACCTATAAAGACAGTCAAGTGTTTGGATGTGTATTGGAGACAGTGTATATCTGTTCTGTTTGAAGTAGACTTGAATATCTTCCCCCAGAGAGGACTGTGCTGTTTGCTTATTAAAGCTGCAGTCTGTCAGATATTTTCCTCATTGTTCTGTCACAGCCTTTTTTTCTGCTCTGTTTATAGCAGCAACTTCCTAATGCTTCTTTATCTTGTTTCCAAGCTACAAGTAGTAAGAGGGCTCTATTTGTCCTCCAGATTTTTTGTTCCATCTTTTATGGGACTGCTGGCTCTAAGTGGCGTTTGATGGGCTGTTTGGCAAGGAATCGTTCGCTTCGTGTTGTGACCAGTATATACCTGTTGATAGGGGCATGAATGTTGATGACATATTGTGGTTGTTTAAGAGATTTATGGATATGATTCTCACTTCCCCTCTCCCTCTTTTTCTTCTGTCTTCCTCTCCTGTGGGCTGTGGTGGGATGTTCAGGCAGATCTGTAACAGCGGAAAAGGTGACGTTATGGCCTTGAATGATTATACTAATTAAGAGATAGTGCAAAGGGTCTTATTTACCATTTGATTATATTTTTAATACAAGTTGCTTTAGTTATCTTTATTGATAAAGAAATTGAAATATAGTGTTCCTACAAGAAACTGAGCTACTGTGTATTGACACGGAAAGCTGCTTAACTAGGAGTGAAGACATCACTGAGAGGTGTGGAGGCAGGGAATTGGGCTGGGGTTTGAAAGAGGTCATGTGAACGGATGGAGGGATGGACACTAGTAAGCCCGATGTGTTTAGGGGGCCAGTTGGCACTTCAGGGCAGCAGGGGCTTGTAACAGGAGGTGATGGGGCCATTTGTAGTCACATGACTGACAGGCAACCCACTGTCACCTCGGAAACCAGGAGCGAAGGCCACAGTTATCCAATCATGTCAGGAATGCTGGCCGTCACTCAGCTGAGGCTATTTCTGCTGTCTGTCGCTAGTGCTTGGTAGTGCTAAGAGTCTGGCATACATGGAGCCGTCTTTTTGTTGTTGTTTTTCTCCCCCCCACCCTTCCTCTACTCTATTTAGCCTTCACTCTGTCACTTTTTTGAGTTTGTAGTGTGAAATTGTCAGCTCTTTTGCGGTGGCTGTTTGCAGTGTTTGTGGTGTGACTTCTTTCCTTCTTAGAGTTTACTGTGGGAAGGAAAGTTGTGGAAGAGACTCAGAGAGAGTGGGAGGGGGGCCAGAGAGTGGAAAAAAAGGGGATCAGTCATCTAGCCAGCCAAAGGAGAGAAGTGGGCGACACTAAGAGACTGAGACGGGAGCCAGAGGAGAGAACTAAAGAGCCAGTCAGAGAGAAAGTGAGAGGGAACGAGGGCTGTGGGACGTGAGGTGAAAATGGCACAACGTCTGCGTTTGTATTTTGGCTCAGGCCGCAGTAACACAGCTCCGGAGATACTGGAGGGAGACTTAGAGGAGCAGCAGGGAGACAGTGATGTGGCCACGGGGCTCTGCATGCAGCCACCTCTGCTATCAAGGCCTTCTCAGGAGCCAGCTACGCAGCGTGTCCCACCAAGGGCTTTTGGTTTGCGCTCGGAGCCTTCACTTAAACGTAGCTCCTCCATGTTCATACCGCAGCTCACCACCTACGCTGAGCCACGGCCCACCAAGAGTTCCTCCATGCACATTTCCCTCCAGCGCACCAATGGATCAAGTAATGGAGACTCAAGTGGTCATGCAGATGATGTCCCGCCACCCTGTTATTCTCCCCCAGGACCTGCGCCTGCCTATATTGAACCAGAGATGCAAGCAGACATTCCGCGGCGATCACCTCCTCCATACTACAACCCAGATTCTTTAAACTCTCAAAATTTTCTGACGGATCCAAACCTGCCCAAACGCAGAGTGTTTAGTATTGGTTCAAATGGCCATATTGTGTATAGCAGAGGCCAACCAGGTATCAGTGTTCATGGTATTTGTCTCCAGAGGAACTCTCCTGATGGGTCCGACATCCGGCATTTCAGAATCCTCCCTTATGGTGGTACTGGCTGCTCAGTCCAGCAGCACAGCTTGGACCAGTGGTCTGGTGTTAATGGTGGAACACAGAGACTAGTGTTTCAATTCCAGCAGAATCAGAACCAGGATCAGAGCCAGGACAGGCAACAAGCTGCTGCATCCCAGGAAGAACGCACAGATATTGGCTTTACCAGCTCAAGGGGTAGGCGTATGACGCGCTACCCCAGAATTCGACTGGAGAGAAGTTCACCTCATCATAGGTTATTGCTGGAGAATCAACACCAGAAAACTGGTATAAATAGCGAACCTAAAGAAGAGACCCAAACAGATGTGGAGACACAGAGAATGGAAGCAAGAAACAGACCTAATGGTTGTACTTTTAAAATCAGTGGGGATAGTCCCAGAAGGCAGCCTCATTTCAAGATATATTTTACCCCGGGTGGAGGTGGGGATGAGGATGTGACCCTTGGCAGTGATTCAGCGAGGACTAATCCTGAGGTAAAGATTATTTGAAGTGTTTAGGAGCACTGCTAGCCTGTCTCTGAAATCTTTAATGGAAAAATATTTAATGTTTCTCAACAGTTTGTGTTTGATGTTATTAGACAAACACCAACAAATCAGGATTTATAGCCTTGATGTCCTAATGGTAAAATAAATGAGATTGAATAGTAAACAGTGGATTTGTCATCTCGCTCATATGACATTTAGTTGAATATATGATAGCTTTTACACGATGTAGCTAGAATAATTGGGAGGAAGAAGGGCCATGGACATAATAAATGAAACAGAATCAGAGTGGAATTTAACCTATGCAAACTATGTCTATAGATTTCACATCCACTGTGCTAGGCTGGCTAGTATTTCACTTATTTCACTCACTGTGAAGCTAGTCCAGATTAGAGATCCGTATGGCGCAGGAAGAGGGTGGTGACATTCTGGGAAGTGAAAAGCACAGACATGGGTTCTGAACCAAACCACATGCAGTGGCCGTCTTTGACTGCGCAGCCACAGGCATTCGTAATTTTTCATATATGAGCCAAGTCACAGTTAAGAAAGTAAAAGAGAAAGAGTCTTATGGATGAATGGATAATTTCTCCTTGTGCACTTGTTGCCTTCAGTTTCACAGAAATGTGACACTTATGTTTGGCAGTACTCTTAACTGCAGTGAGTGCTCTTTGAGAGTTGGCTGCTTCTATCTTTAGTCTGTTTCGAGCGTGGTTGTTAATTTTGAGAGTGGGCAGGCGGCATGTCTTTTTTGGCTCTGGGCTGGTATGGATCTCTGTCCCCACAGCTGCCCTGTGAGTGATTAAGACCTAAGACGTCATTACAGGCCAAATGCGAATCAACTTTTCAAGCAGTTTCAGTGTTTCCTGAAACCCTGAAGGATTTTAATGTTGCTATGTGTTCTCCTTTTGTATGTAGCTCAAACACTGGAAGCAGAACCGATAGAAGGGATACACTTTAATAATCAGTATGTTGTTGCCAGATTTACTATTGACAGGCTTTTTCTTAAATCACCTTGGACCTTTCAATAGCAGTAAAATATTTATACACTGAATAGTAGGTATATATGTAGATAGTCCCAGTAGTTGCTTATGTAGGGTTTACTGCCAGGAGTCTGGAGAAATAAATACAAAGTATACTTGCTTGAAAAGTTAAAGCAAAGTCTTACAAAACATTATTTTTGTGTCACAATAAAGAAAAAAATATTTTTTGTACAAAAAAACTAAAAAACCACTAGTGAAATATAACGGCTCGAGGATCCCCTGTGCAGTTTTTGACTTCAAGTAATGCTATCTAGCAGTTATTAGTTATAAATATTTCCCTGCTTTGTTTTATGCATATACTCAAGGATGCACATGCACATGAATGACAGTGTATAGTCCTGCCAGTAGTTTGACATTATTCCACTTATAACTGGTGGTAGTGTTCCAAGATATGGAATAATATGACAGGAATGGCAATAACTGAAAAGACTGCTAGCCAGTAAACATGGATGTAAACAATGCATGTTAAAAAATTCCAGCTTTGGAGGTATTATATGAGGAATGAAATGGCATTTAATAGGATACCTGCAGTGCATTTTTATGAGAAACACAATGTAAAACAAATTTTTGTTTTGTTGGCACATCTACTTCTTGAGAATATTGTGTACTGTGATATTTTAATTACAGCATCTGCCACAATAAGGAGATTAATTTTGTTGTAGTATGACACAGTGCCCCCATGTTTCATTTCTGACTTGAACTCTTCATGTGCATGGTGCTGTACCGAGGTTTTGTCCATGCAAATAACATTTCTGATAATTCTGTTACACTTGCCCTTGAGAGATTATTAATGCTTGCCACACGGATATCTGTGCTATCCTAAGTATTGCTAACCTTGAGCCTAAATGCTATAAATATAAAATTTGCTAAATATGTTTGGTTTTATCACAGTTTCATACCTGAGGAACGATTAGATGTGACTGACTGGCTAATACTGGCTGTTCTCCATTAGTATACAGTCATAACATATTGTTGGTCATATTTCCGATGGCATGTAGGCCATACTTGAATGCATTTTACACATCTTTGTTTTCTTAGCTTTAAAGTATGTGGTGTTGTGTTACCCCATGCAACAAGTAAATCCTAATTTAGACCATAATGACAGGTCTTTCCCAACTGGTACCCTGGAGTTGGGAGTGCCCCTTTTTAAATCCTGCGTGGGACGCTGCATGTGTGTGTGCCAGCTAGACTAGCTGCAGACAGCTATGCCACTGCACCGTGCCCCCGTTGCAGCTCTGCCTTGATGCCCCCTAGTCGCCATTCACAAAGAGCTCTTCCCGGCCACAGAGCTGGCTATATTTACCTGAAATGAGATTGTGGATGGGTGGCTGGGCTCTCTTTTTATTTTAGTCCAGTAGCATGTGAGTGTGATTCAAATTGCTATTGTTGTGAAACTCCCATCTCTCAGAGGTCCATGGCATTGTACAGTAATTCCGCCATGTCAGCACGGAAATTGTTGAATAGGTTAGAATATTTTTACACCTTTGTGTCGGCCTCGGCTTGTACCAGGTTACCCCATATCATAAGCGCCGTCTGTTACCACTTCTTTTAACGTCATAGCAGTTACAGTTGACAGTAAACATACAGCTACAGTTAGCATAGCCAATTCTTGTCACTTTATCTACTTTGCCACAGTCTTAAAGGGTCAGAAAAACATTTTCTCACTTACCCCTTTGTGGTTTACAGCATGCCTAAAGTTTGGGTTTTATATTTTTTGGTCTAATACAGGTGAGTGGAATTTCATTTGTGGTGTGCACAACATCAAAAAAATCCAACAGCCACATCTCTTTCCTTAAACCATGTCCCTGAGAACTCATTATAGGAGAGTAAGAAGGGAATTGTTTCTGGAAAGGAATTTTGCTGATTTTTCTTTTAATGCTATGAGCACCACAAAATTAAATTGCCTTTATCTGCAGTGTCAATGTTTTTTGGCAGAAAATCAGATATATATCCAAAACTATCTGCATACACTTAGAAGTATGTGAGATGTAAGTGTTTTATGATGTGGATAAACAGTTTTTTTTATTTTTTATTCTCAAACTATTTTTGAGCTGGCTGTATACAAGCCTTCATCAGGCTAATGACTCTTTCACGTTTTCCCTCCTCCTCCTCCTCCTCCTCTTGGTGTTTGTTGGCACCCTTCTGAGTGTAACCTGGCCCGGGGAGGCAGCTGCAGGCTCAACTGTGACCCTGTGATGACTCCGCAATTATATCCCTCTGCATACACATACTCGCAGCTTATATTGCTTGTTCCGGTTAAAGACAGAAAAACAGTCGTGTCCAATAGGACACCGCCATTGCCGCTGCCCATTTTGATATGCTGTAAGTTAAAGGGTCACTATTACTTATATGATCTGTGTACATGTAGAATCAAATGTGGTTTCGAGGACAAGATTAAATGGTCATAGTGATTCTTCCCTGCTTCAAGAGGCTTGTTTATTGACTCTTTGCAGCATTTATTGTAATGGTAAATGTTAGTTTATGAATCACTTTAAAAAATAAATGACCTTTTTTGTACAAATTCATGCTGTAGATTACAAATCAACACATGTGCAGGTGTAATATGACACTGTCATACACATGGGGTGGCCCAGGTTGTGTTTGTTGCTCTCTTCTTGACTGTTTTGAATTACTTGGAAGTTAGGCAAGCGGTAAATCAATGGTCTGTTTAGTTTGGGATACAAAAACAGATACTGTGGTAATTTACACAGTAATGGCTCTGGCTTTCCAAGAAGAAATAGTTTAAACTATGAGTGTAGTGAGTTTCTGTGACTCATTTCTAACTTTCACCATTGAATTCCAGGTCTGTCAATTGGTGAGAGCCAAGTGCAGTCGCTGCTCTTTCCTTTCCCTTCTGACCATCAGATCAAATCAGTTTGACCACTATACATCTTGTGTTGGCGTGAAACGCTGTAAGAAACCAGTCATGTAGGCCTGCAATTTGTAAAAACGTCAGTTTTTCTTGTTTGTGCTGTATTACTTAATTTTTGACATTTCAAAATGACATCTGATGAGATTTACAAAAGCACTGAGGATTAAAAAAGGGCTTTTCAACTTTCTTTTTTTAACCAGACTGTTTTTTCAGAGCTCTTATTTCTGACTCACTGTGAAAAAGGGACCACAACTATTACATTTCATTGTCAAATCAAGTATATATCCAGGACTCCCCACACTTACAGTTCAGTTGGAAATTGTTTCCATTAATTTGTATGGAACGTTTACAACTGCATTACTCTGGTGCAGCAGTGAAGCAACTTTTACAGATGCCACAGTGTTGAGATTTTCTTCTCTTGCACACTAAATCTTGAAGAATGAATGAACATTGCGTGCTGCACATCAGACTGCAGGGCTTCTCTTTTATTAAGAGAGAAACTTCAATTAGCAACAGCTGCTTATTTTTTTTATTGTTTACTCCTTGGTAACTCATTAAATCTACCACAACTGACAGTGTCACAACTCAGTCTGAGAAACGCTGCACTAATAGAAGTATCATACAGTGTTTGAACCCAGCCTTTCCTGTCAAACCACTGTCCACAAATAGAGATGGTCTGTTAACCTCTGTTGTCTAAATAAGTTGTGTCCCACACACAGGCTACTTCCAAGAATGGGCTTTTCCATCTCGGACAGGTAATCATTGCTCCCACTGGCGCCTGCTGCTGCTGCAGGGCAGCTCAATCATCTGTCAATCTCCCCCTCTCCCTGTCACTCTGTGTTCATTACAGCAAAAGGATGGACAAATCTACAGGCTTCTTAATTTGAAACACAAACCTTTGCTGCAGGGTTCGACGTTAACTATGGCCCGTGTCCACAAAAAGTCACTGTGTGGCCCGCTGTGGCCACCAAGCTTCATCAGATCTCTACTGAGAATGAGACCCTGTGTCTCAGACTTCACCAACGCAACATTAATGTTCCACAATCTTCCTTATTCATTTGCACCTCTTAGTTCAACATTTTACAGAAACAGCAAACAGTAAGGTTGCCGGCTCACTGCTGTTATGTCGGGGCTCCCGAAGATGGGTTTAAATGGCTAGAATACAGCACAGCTAACAATGTAATGCACTATGGTGTACTAACGTAGAGATGATGCTTGGAGGGAGTGGGAGGTTGTGAAAAAGATGAACTGAGAGGTTTTTTAATAACTTGTTTTCAGTTTAAATAATTCTAAAAATGTACTCAGTATGCCCATGCATTTTTACAAATGAACTTCAGTTTTTAAGTTCAGTTTAAACAAATAAATGTCTTTTCATTTATTGAAGTGTCACAGTTAAGGAAGGCTGAGTTGCGTTAAGTTGCCTTTTCTGCGTTGTTTTTACATTTGGGCCACCAAAAATGTACTTTAGCCACCAAATTTATGAGCTTGGTGGCCCATGCAGCCAGTGCTTTAAAATATTAGCGTCTATCCCTGTCCTAGTTCCTCCATGATGTCACTTCCATCCTTCTCTCCCTCTGTCTGGCTAACTTGGCTTCTCTCTGGTGGCAGTGGTTGTAATTTTTCCTTACTGGGTTTGTGGGTTAATTCACATATAAAGTGACATCTGAGGCCTGTCCATAAATAAGACCCTATACTGAACCTTTTGATTAGACACCTGTGAAAAGAGGAGCAAATATCATATTTTCAGTAACATAAATTGTTCATGCTATGCTAAAACATAGTTGCACTTTACTCTTTTGCTGCCTTATGGGATTTTCAAATCACAGGTGTTCACACAGAAGGCTAGCGGTTATTTCTGGACCAGGTTCTTCATGAAATGAAAATCTCTTTCATTCTGTCTGTGAGAAAAACACAAATCGCTGTTGGATATTCTGTTTTATTTGGTGATTCACCTCAACATTGTGGTCCCTCCCCCCCCATCTTTCCCTTTCCCTGGAAACTTTTGTGTTCCTCACACAGACTCAAAAAGCTGTTGGAAGCTGCTGAAGGTGACCTTGTTGTTTTCTTTCCTAGACTAGAGATGATTTCCTCGGTCAAGTTGACATCCCTCTCAGTCATTTGCCGGTGAGTTATTTGCATCTTTGTTTGTGTGTGTGTGTGTGTGTGTTTGCGCGCGCCTAACTGACTGTTGTAACAGTGTTTTGTATACTCATCTTTTTCTTATCTTTGGTTGATTTGCTGCACGTACAACTTCTATGAAGGTCAGCCAAGTTTGTGTGTGTGTGTGTAATGTAAGAAAGTGAAAAATGTAAGAAAGTACAAGCCATGCAAACAACACCTGCCTTGCTTAGAAATAGAAAGTGGGTTGTCTAGAATATAAACAGAAGTGACCATCCTGAGGGCAAACTACCCTCAGAACCAGTGGAAAAAGCTACACTTGTCAAATTCACACACTCACAAGTACTAACTTACTACTGGGAGACAACAGCTTTTGTAAATAATCATATGCAGAACTTGTGTGTGTACTATTTATGGGTATTTACAGTTGCGGTTTGATGTAAATGAACAGAACCTGAAACTCAAGCGGCAGATGAAAGCTGTGATGTCAGACTGGTTGCGGCTCTCTGAAGTTCTAAATTGTGGGCTTTAAAAGCATATCAGTGAAATGTGATGGGGTTAATTATTAATGTCCTAGTTGGCTCCTACAGGGCCCGGGAATTAGTAGCAGATAAAAGCTACAGCTGAGTCATGTTGGGAGAGAGCAAAGTCACGGGACGTGGAAGACATTTGGTTCTGGTGCAGTAAATGCTGTCAAGTGCTTTAGCCATTAAATGAACTGAGTAGAAGTACACGACTGTTGTTTGTTTAGATCTGTATGTCTTTGTGTTTTGATTTATTTCTTTATGCTTAACTACATATTGTTAGACTTATGGTCTTAGTCACAGTTACTGGACAAGTCATGTGGTCTTAGTTTTGATTTATATCTGATTTCTGATCATGTGACCACTGTCAAACGTTCGCTGTATCTTATTTATTATTATTTATTAACTTTTTGCTTGACTCCTATGACACCAAACAGAATTGAACATATCTTAACTGAATGTTATTTTTGTAAGCCTGTGACTCACATTTCAGTTCAGTCTGCATGTGCACGGCAGTGCAGGGCCTCACCAGTGTTCACACACAGTCAGATACATGTCACTTAAAAACATGAAAGTGAACAAAAAGGTCAGATCTGACAAAAACCAGAAAGAGCATTAAGACCTGTAATGTGAATGTAGCTTTAGATACTTTGAAAGTGAACTAAAAGGTCAGATCTGACAAAAACCAGAAAGAGCATTAAGACCTGTAATGTGAATGTAGCTTTAGATACTTTAGTTTTTTTTTTGTTGTTCTTTCATATTTCGTGAATCAGACCAGCCACTCTGACTCAGCAGAGGCAGTCTGCTAGCTACATTTGCTACTTCAGCTGTTTGCAAACAGTTTCACATACCATACAACTTGACACCTTGTGCCAACTCATGGACCTAATACCTAGTTGTACGTGAGTCAACCATGGGGTGGGTTACGTGTTCCTTCAGGCTTTTAACAGCAGAGTTTGGATGCATTAGCGTCTAAGATGCTAAGCACAGCTTGGTCCCAACATCTTCATCACTTTTATGTTTTGTAGAAACTTGTAATGGAGATTGTGCTTTTGAAACTGGCAGTGAGATTCAGGGGTGCATAGAGCAGTATGTGGTGAGCCAGTATGGACTGGTTTAGAAGGCTTTTCTGCTGTACACTATGTAACAAGAGAAGCTCAGCATTGCATAATAATTCTGCTGTGGCTGTGCAGAGAGCTGCAGCTGTGCTCTAAACTCATGACTCTGATATTTTCATACCTTCTAGCTCATGTTTTACTTGAGTGTTCAACTGGTTGTTGTCAATAAATGCATCCTTTTTAATTGCAGACAGAGGACCCTGCTATGGAGCGTCCCTACACATTTAAAGACTTCCTCTTGCGGCCCAGAAGGTCAGTTTATACTACAACAGCATTCGACAAGTAATCAGTGAAAATACACATAATAAATGTTACAATAAATGTTTAAATTGTGCTCTCACTAGAGACTAGCGTCATAACTCCAAAAAGAGGTGTGTGACAGTCAGTTGAACACTGCAGATGAAAGACCATGTCAGTTTGGAAACTCCCTTACATTTCTACTAGGGGCTCTGAGGGTGGAGTCCACCTGGTTTTAACGTTCTGTTTACAAATGAGTTCATTCTTGTTGTCATTCTAGTCACAAGTCCAGGGTGAAGGGTTACCTGCGTCTCAAGATGGCCTATCTGCCTAAACAAGGCGGACAAGAGGAAGAGGCTGGAGAGATGAGGGAGGAGGCAGAGGTAAGGTGTTGGCCACTATCATCAGTGAGTTAGTTTTCACCACTGACTCAGCATTACCTAAGGCATCTTTTTGACCGTCTTGTTCATAACAGCCTGAAGCCAAGGCACATTCTAGGAAGGCAGAAAGCTTTGGGATGAAAGTAAAAATGCGAGAGTGGTTTTTGCTATGGGCGAAAAGAGAAAGGACAGTTCTTTGTATTCTTTTCTCAGAGAATTCCAGCAGCACTTTGCTGCCAGAATCTGGCGAAAGTCTTTTCCAGATCAAGGTCTGGAAAAACCATTTCTACTACGGCCAGTTATTTGGAGAAAAAGGAGCTTCTTTTACTTCATGTGTTCTTGCATGTGTAAATGTGTTCAAGTGTGGATTTCTTATGAATTGTGGAAGAGTGTGAGAGCATGAAAGATTCTATACATTTTATAGACTGTATAGTCTGGATCTATGGATCCTCTTTATCATGATATTTTCTTTCTGTCTGTCCAGTCTTATTCTAAAAGAGTTAATACTTAAGAGAATGATGCACAAACATTTGTCTTAAATCCTGTGGTCTGAGATACTCCAGCCAGCCTGCAGCTTGTCAGACAGAAATAAATGCCAGTAAATGTTAACAACAACATTTCAGACCACATCACAGCACTGAACAATTTTAACCCACCACAAGTGGATCCAGCATCTTTAGTGTATTTCCATCCAGTCCCTTCTTAAACAAGACCCCTTTGCCAAGCTCATGTGTCACTAGGATATCTGTGACCACAAGGATCAGCCATCAGTTTTAGTATCGCTATGAATCAAGTACTCATAACACCTTGCGTCAAAAATGTGAATTCCCTCTTTCAGGGCTGGGATGAGTCTGTGGATTCGGGCTCACAGCGACCCCAGCAACTGCTGCCACCATTGCCCCCGGGCTGGGAAGAGAAGGTGGACAACCTGGGACGCACCTACTACGTCAACCACAACAACCGCAGTACTCAATGGAAACGGCCCTCCAACATGTACGCCTGATCTCTCCATTCCTACGAGTTTAGATTTTTGCGTTGGTTAAATGAGAAGATCTGAGTTCAGCAAAAGCAGCACTGCAGATGTGAACGGTCGCATTTTAAAAGTATACGTTTGGTTACATATCCAGAATCAAAGATTTTTATTGTCAAGTCACTATATGTACAGGACCTACAGAAAATCGAAATACCGTTTCTCTCTCACCTAGTATTGAATGCCATACCATTTAAGAAATTAAAGTAGAATAAAAGTAGAGTTAAAAATAGAATAAAACTCTCTCAGAGCCCGACGAGGAACACAGCTCAGAGGAAACGTGGCAGAAGTTGCATCAGCTGCAGCTCCTGTCAAAACCGCCAAGAAGAAGGCTTCCAGGCGCAAGCAGTAACTTCCTCAAGTTTCTGCTAGTTGCATGACAACCTAGCCAAGAAACAGTCCCCCACAAAACTCACCGTGGAACCACAATGTGCCATTTTTACATTTAGGTTCCATTTAATTAATGCTGCATTCACACTTGTCTTACCAGAATGGAAAGAACAGGAAAACACCTTTATTCCCACCTGAGAGTATTTACACATTATTCCAGGGTGGTTAGTTCAAGTAGTTAACCTTATAGGCACACCTGATAACTAGCCTAATTTATACTTTAGTGTTACCAAGTGAATCTAGATACAAATTCAGTTTATTAGCTCTTATAAAGTGAACTGCATAGAATGTACAAGTGTTAATATTGGATTATGTTTTGATGTAACTGTCAGCAGTGATGCGTGTGTAGCCACTTTTCTGTCAGTGGTGAATTGAATGGATAGCATTGCAACAAATTAATGTTAACGTGCAGGATGATAAACTGGCTTCATCTAATACGGAGAGTGACTGTAACACCAATGCGCTAAAGCTAAGCTCGCTCTCCAAGTTTCTGGATCGCCTGTTTTGTTTTCCGCCAAAACATCACATCTTCACGTCAGCACCATTGTATCCTGTTAACACAGACAACACACCACCCACTCGTGCCACATGAGACTTAAAACAAATGCACCGTCGAGCTGCCACATACAGCCAAAACCATAAGTGGAGGGAGACCAGTGGGAAGACACCGAGTTCCCCAGCAGAGTATTTTTAGATACTGACAGGCAACGAACATCCAGGTATAACCATATAGTGATAGATCACTAATATCCACAGTACACGTCACATAAAATAACCTCTTTTTTTTATTATTATTATACAGTTATGACAATGGCGATTCAAAATTGTGAGCTCGCTCATTTTGATGTGAACTGAACTTGGAGCTAGCTCTTGTTAAGTGTGAACTTGCACAACACTGGCCATAGCTATTATGTGCCCTTATTATTTCTTCAAATTGGGTTTTTCTCTTTGGTCAGAAAGAAGCTATTGTAACGGAAACTGTGTTCAGCTATTTTTACCAGGCCCGTCCTACTCAAGAATCTTTCTGTAATACTACATCAGTTATCATTTGCCTTTTGGTTTCCATTGACATAGCAGCAATACTGACTTAATCTAATGTCTTATTTCCTGGCAGCAATGCTGTGACTTAACAGTTGTTTTTGTATAAAATCACTTCCCCATCCCTCAGGGATGTGATTTCAGAGACTGAGAGTGACAATCAGCAGCGACAGATCCACCAGGAAGCGCACCGTGTTTTCCGGTCAAGACGCCACATCAGTGAAGACCTGGAGAATGAGCACCTAGAACCCAGGGACATGGACAATGTGAGAGAGAAGGAGATACACAGTACACGCACACATCGAGCCACAGCTGTCTCAGGTGATAAGGTCACTTAAATGTTAACAGTGGGTTTTTTTTTTTTTGTGTGTATGTAGTCGTGGGAACTCATCACAGAGGAGGATCCTAATGACAGCCTGGCCCAGTCTCTGCCTGGCCCCTCCTCCATCCTGACACCACAACACACGGCGACACCTGTCACCCAGGAGTTTGCTGAGGATTTGAATATGAGGCTGTCACTCACTCCCGATGCCAACGGTGAAGTGCCAGGGCCCAGCTCTGCTCTGGTGAGATGGCAACACTGTAATTTTCAGCAGTCAAAAGCTAAACCACCCTACATTTAAATGACTTAGTGGTGTAAACGTAAGCAGTCAGCTTGATTTCCTGGCAGGTCGTCTTGTGTCTGACATTAGATGGACAGGTATTGCCCACAATGAGGTTTTTTTTTTTACTCTCTCCTTACCTACTTTCTTTTTTCTAACAGAGTCAGCTGTCAAACAGACTACGTTCCTCCAGTATGACAGATGGCGTCAGTGATCAGGCCCAGGCTCCTCCTCTTACGGTACATATGTCTGAACGGTCACACTTCTCTCATCCTCTTTTTTTTTTTTTGACTTCCTTCTCTTGTTATATTACTTTCACTGTAGTGAACATTCTTTGGTTAGTTCACTAAATGAATTAAACGGGTTTGTATTCTCATTTACCTCATGTCTGTTGTCTGTTAGGTGTACCACACATTAAAATCACATTCTTTCTCCTCCTTGCACTTAAAATTTCCACTTGTTGGTGTTAGGCAGTGTTGGTGTTGCCTTCCTGCTCTCACTTCATGCCTCCGTAGGATTGCCAAATCTTTTCCTCCATCCTTCTTTCACACTACCGCTCTGCTCTTTGCGATTCACTCGCCACTCTTTCCTCCATCCTTCTTTCACACTACTGCTCTCTGCTCTTTGCGATTCACTCGCCACTGTGTTTGATGCATTGTGGAAACCTTGGCTCTGTAGCTGTGTGCCAGCAGAATAACCATTCTAGTTGAAACCAGACAAGTAAGCTTGAGGACAGTGTCATGTCAGTTCTGAGAATCCTGAGTCATAGCATCAGTGGAGATTCAGCTCAACAAACTGTCACACAATCTGAATCAGGTGTTTGTCTCACAGCTGAGTCACAGCAGTGTCATGCCAAGGAAAAGTGCGGGTGCTCATGTCAGCCTTTCCCTCTGAACTGGCTGGATAACAGTAGGCTCATTAAGAAGCCATCAGAGGGAAAATATCAGCTGCATTTGTTTGCTGTGTGTCCTGGGTTTAGGTTAGTGTTGATCATATTGAAATTAGAGGAGAGGATAGGAGTTTCCTATCATTGTGTTAGTAGAAACACTTCCTTAATAATATAAAAGGTGTGCATGGGTCAGTTGGTGCTGTTTGTTGTGACCAGGCCTCTATTCAAAACAGGCTTGTATTCCTCATTTTCACTGCTTCCCAGTTATTGCAAAACATGTTTGCAAACCTTAATAGAAGGTTGTTGGGTTGCTTTAAATTCCACAGCAGCTGAATGCAGATCTGAGCATGTGTGTTTTTTGGAATACTAAAGGCTTTAGGGCTGTTTGTGGTGGTGCTTTGCTAACTGTCCTCCAGGTTGTTTAGAAAAAGCAGAACGGCATCAAGTATCTGTCTTTGTAAAGCACTGATTTTGCCATCTTACTTGCAGTACATCTCTTGTTGATTGTTTGGATGAATTGTTTTAATTTCCTGTGCATTTTATCATTTATTTGACTTCATGTCTGACATTCAAAGATTCTGAACATCAGCCCAGTAATTCAGCTTCACTGCTCTAACATTTTCAGGGCAGAGAACTGGCCATGTCTCTGACTGGTGTTACTGTAGCTTTTCTGCTTGGGTCGAGCTTAAAGAGGCCGTATTGACTGGGGATTTAATTTTCAGTTCAGGGAACTGAATCTGGGTCCTCCCTCCAACAGGGAAATGCTGTCCTTGCTTCTGCAGCTCAGACTGTTTTCCTTTTTATTGCTTGTCTATTAAAATTGATTTACTTGATTGATTTGATTTGATTTGATACTTGATTTACTCACTGCTTATATGCTTCGCTGGGTATGATCTGTTGTTTAATAATCAACCACTGCACTTTCCCACTGTGGCCAATAATCACAAGAATCTCCTCACTGCTTGTCGCGCTTCACCTCCTCTGAGAATAAATTCCCCCTTTTGTATGTTACCCTCACTTCACTGCTGCCCGAACACTCTCCCTTGCCCCATTACTTCCGCCCTGGTGATGAAAATATAACCTGCTGTAAACTAAAGACCATCTTCCCCTGTTGTCTACCACCAGCAGGCCTCCCAGACCAGAAGAACAAGAACTCAAACAGTCTCAGGGGGTGAGGAGCCTATGGTAATGTGTCAGTTTATATACTGTACAAACCCTATAAGCCTCAGTCTCTTAGTTCCCAGACACTATTTTGAATGGCCTATATGTGTCCCCTGACTTTTGTGCATCCTAAGAGAGTGCACTTTGACACCACGAGGGCTTCATTAATTTATATTATTGAAAACTTTTATGTAGAATTTCATTGAAATGCACATTCTTGCTGGGAGATGATTGTTTTTTTTTTAAACGATCAGCTGATGAGGACATCCATTATTTCAGCGATTCCTTCTTTATTTACTTCCCTCTCTGGTGGTGCTAGGATGCACTGCAGCGCTTATTTAGCGCAGTAGTTGTCCCAGAGTTGCTGAATTAGTAGTGTACAGAGTCGTCAGCATGGGAGTCAATGCAATATTAAGTAATACCATCGTTAATAAGCCATAAAACAACATGATAAATGTTTAATGTTCAGTGTTGTTATGTTTGCATGGTTGTATTTTAAATATTACCTTAGTTTATGGTCAGTTGGTTGAATATTCCAGTAATCTTAATGCTATAATTGGTTAATAGCTGACTTAGCAAAGTACAGTATGAACCACTGCTTCTCACCATGTGCTGTTTATTTTAGCGCTGCTGTGTGTGTGTGCGCGTCATTGTGTTTTGTGTGTTTCCATTAACTTTTGTCACATGTCGTCCCTAAATGGTTTCTCTTTCTACGCAGCTGAAATGGGAAAATGTATTAAAGCCTTTGTTTTGTTGTTAGATTGTGAGGGGAAGGTGTGTGGTATGTTGGAATAATGCTGATTATAAACTGAAAACATCCGTTTCTGTTCACTTGTCCAGACAGTATTTTGTGGCCTGACGCTTCTTGGTGCAGAATCATTGTAAAATATGAAGATTCCCTCCACATGTCACCAAGCATACCAGCCTCTACTGATTAGCTGTCTTTGCTTTTCTTTCTCTCTACACTTGGCCAGTCTCCCTCGTCGACTGCTTACGCCTTGACCACCCCTGGCCTGCCCCCAGGATGGGAGGAGAGGAAGGATATCAAGGGAAGAACATATTACGTCAACCATAACAACCGCACCACAACATGGACTAGGCCAATCGTGCAGGTACAGCAGGTCTGAAGGGCTGGCTGTTGGGCTGGTCTGGATCTTTACCTTGGCCCCTGTCCTGTCTTTGGCCTGTGTGCTGGGCCTCTTCCCTAATCGCAGTATCTTTGTCTCTCTTTATCTCTGTCTGGTTTCCTGTTCTGTCCAACTTTATTGTATCTCCTGTCTAGCATTTTTTGATACTCTGGATAAAGTGCGACTCTGCGCTGGTCACATCTTTGCAAACCCTGGCAATGACCCACCACTTTTTCCTCTCCCCTTTCCCATTTCTACACTGTTTTTCCACTTGCTTCCACTGTCTCTGCAAATGAAGCAGCCACACATAGTCTGACATGAGGAGAGACTTCTACATGGGAGTGGGTGTTTAATGCTCATCCACCCTTTCATGTCTGCTTTACCAGAACACTGTCGGTTATATTATACCTGTTGATCTGTTGTCTTTCTTCACATAGGCTTCTCATTCTCATCCATTTTTGTTATTACTGAAAAGAAAAGCACATATGGTTTTAGATAACAGTATTGTTACAGTCTTTGCTCAGTGTAACTGTAGCTTTACCTGTTGTGTCTGTTACTTGGGTTAGGGTTAAAAATAACAGTAAAATTACCGTAACTTGAAAGTTTTTGTCCCTATTTTCTAGTCGGATGTGTTATCTTAAACATTAATAAGTATGTATTGAGTGGCATAAATGACCCATACAAATTTTCCTGGAAGATAAACACACATCCAGACCTTTCAGGTGCAGACAGCCGTACAGTTTGGCTTACAGTAATGATGGGGGCATGCTTTGGTTTTGCAAACAGCATTACTTGCCTTATTCAAAACCCACTTTAATCTCAAAAGTGCCATTCTTGCTGACAGCTGACTGAAGATGGAGCCAGTGCCTCAGCGGCAGCAGCGGATTCAGGCGGAGCCTCGGCCCTGGCGCCCACGTCCATCCCTCCTTCCTCTTCCAATGCCTCGAACAACCACCTCCATGAGCCCCAGGTCCGACGACCTCGTAGCCTGAGCTCCCCTACCGTCACCCTTTCCACCCCTTTGGAGGTGAGAATTAGCCACCTGCACGGCCCCTGCGCCACCATATCTTTTTCCTCTTTTACCCGAGGACTACTTGGTTACTTCTTCTTTTTTCTCCCATCTATATGCTTCCACTTTTTTTCATGCAATCCTTCATTGTATCAGTGTTTCCATCCTTTAGAAGATGACCAAACCATGATCCTCACCTGCCTAAATTAAAACCAGTCCTCAGTTTCCTTCTTTAAATGTACACTTCCCATCACTACATCTTTCAGGTTAACTCAGTCTTGATGCTGCTTCGCTCTCCTCTCATCTCTGTCAACCCCATGGAAAGATTAATCTCATCATTTAACCACTCTTTTCTCTTTGTTTCTTATTTTCATCTTTCCATCAATGCTGATTGTCTGTCTTCATACAGCTTTTTTTGCCAGTGATTAATCACATGAAATGGTCCAAGTGTTTCCTAAGCTTTGTTAATCATGATGATGAATTTGCTGTGAACAGTATTCTCTCTTGGCACAGCCAGCTTTTCATTCTGCAGTGCAGAATGTTTTAAAGCAATAACACCAACAGGATGAAGCTGCTGTAGTAAATTCAAGATGGTAGACTCGGTTACCGCTAGATTAATAAATTATTTAAAGTGATCACTGATCCCAAGTGATTGTAAGCGGCTAACAGTTAATCTCCAAATCGGTGAAATTGATCTTGGAAACTAAACATCTGTAAATCTTCTGGTTATTTTAGCAACAAAAAGTAAATTAACAGCATACTGTTGGATCTGTGGTTAACATTTCAATATTGATTTGTATGGCATTCCATCCTTTGTAAATACCTTAACGGCGCTATTATGCCTTTGCTGAACCCTGCAGCTGCAGGGTCAGACTTTTATGAAGGAATAAGTAAGCTTTCAGCTTGCACACCTCATGTGCTCCTAGTCTTGTACCTGTGGCTGCTATACACTAAAAAAAAACTTCCTTCCCTCAAGAAATCTTTCTAAAAAGCAGTCCATGAAGCAAGCATCCTCAAAATGTTGGATTGTACCATGCTAAATTTCCCCACAAAACATTTTGATCACTGGTGTTAAATAACTTTAGTGCCCTGGATGTTTTGGTTTTTTTACACTGTTTGCTTTTCATGAGACCGGTCTCTTTACTCATTGATCAGGAGGTTTAATAATCACACAGGGCTGGTGGTTTATATGCTACTACGTGACATTACAGGTCATACAATTAACCTTCCACTTTTGACTTGACACAGTCTTTATTGAGACCATCACTTTAGGCAAAGAACTGCATGAGACCATCACTAATTCTAACACTATTCACAGTTTATAGTTGGATTGTGTTGCATGAGTAGACTGTATATAGAGCTTGTTTTGGCATCACTTCTGCTTTTTATATAGTCGGTGGTTGCATCTATCAGAGTTGGTGTTTTCAGAAGGCTTTGTGTGCACATGCACAAGCAGCTGAGGGTTTGACATTTAAAAAAAATTATCAAACTTTTGCTTGAGATATTTCTCATCTGTGCATATTCCTCATTTATGCAAAATACATGAAAAATGAGCATTTCCATAAATTTTTAAATGATGCATGTGACTAATTATAATCAGCACATTGTTTCTTTTTGATCCACATTGGATCGAATGGAATCACATGGTGGTGAAGAGCCTTTGGTACTATTAAGGTTACAGAAGGAGGTTTAATTAAGGGGTGTGTGTGTGTGTGTGTCTGTGTGTTAACGAGGCATTGTAGGAGTAAGAGGAAGTGAAACACAGAAGAATATTGTAATTATAACTTCCAGGAAAGGTGAGAGGTCTGTGGATTAATTAATGCAGTCTTTTCTCTTGTTAAAAATCAAAACTGTCAGTGATGATTACTGTACTGAGAACAGTATGATGTAGGTACACTCATTATGCTGGGCTGCTTCAGTAGATACAATAGTGATGCTCTTTCCTATGAAAGATCTTCTCTAATCATTTTGTTTCCAAACAGAATACCAAGGCAACTCTTGCATCTGTGCTGATTTGTTTCAAACTATCAGTTATCCATGTAAACTTACAGTGACAGTCCCCTCCTTTATAGTCTGAGACTGACAATACTCCACTTATTTTTTATTTATTTATTTTGTTTTCAGGGAGCCAACAACATCCAGGTGCGGAGAGCTGTGAAAGACACATTCTCCAACCCACAGTCTCCCCAGCCGTCCCCTTACAGCTCCCCCAAGTCGCAGCACAAGGCACAGCAGAGCTTCCTGCCCCCAGGCTGGGAGATGAGGATAGCCCCCAACGGTCGGCCTTTCTTCATCGACCACAACAGCCGAACAACCACCTGGGTTAGCTGACAGGCTGGACTTCTGAATGTTCAGTTAGTTTAGCACTTTATTGTTCAGGGCTTTAATTTTCAATCCGTTTTTAGTAGTTTACAGGAAAGAACAATAATAGTTGTATGTGTATTAAGATATATATATATATATATAAAGAATGAGTACTGGATTTGATTTTAATGGACACCCCTCTAAAGATCAAAAATTTTTATTGTCAGTTCACTATATGTGCAGGACATGCAGAAAAACAAAACACCGGTTCTCTCTCACCTAGTATTGAATGCCACACCATTTAGGAAACTAAAATAGAATAAAAGTAGAGTAAAAATAGAATAAAAAGAATAAGAAAACTAAGTCAGAGTGGTTAGGATAAAGCTAAACGGTACAACCTAACAGGCTATAACTCAAACCCTGTACAATCAGTGACAGTAGAGCAAATAATAACAAGAAGATTAGCAGATGGTTGTGAGATGCACATGGACGGTAGTGCACATGACCAACAGCAGCAGATATGATGGTAAAAACAGTCAGCAGCAGACTTAATGTAATATAACTGTTGGCACATCAAGTACGACATGTACATGACTCATGAGTAGTTTATATTTCGTGTTTCTGCGTGAGTGTTAGAGATGATCTCACTGGAGCTCAGAGCGACATCTGGTGGTGAGGAAGCCAGCTTCACATTGGCTTCAGCTTCTATTGTGATTCATTGTCAGATCTGGAGAGTTTTGTTATATTTAGGACCTACAGTTTTATCTTTATGCTGTAGCAACTATAAAATGTTTTATTTTCCTTTTAATTACAACCACCTTTTTTTGTTCATTCATTCCTTCCCTTGCCCTGACAACTAGGAGGATCCCAGGTTGAAATATCCGGTCTATATGAGGAATAAGAACTCAATGGAGCCCGGTGAACTCGGCCCTCTTCCTGTAAGTACAGTCAGTTTCACCAACTGTGCATTTAACAGCTTTTCTGCGCCATGATATTCATGTTGTGGTTTTTGTTTACAGTCTGACTTAGTTAGTCTAAGTGGTGAATTTATCTTTGCTGTGAAGTATGTGAATGAAGGGACCTTTGCAGTAAAAGAGAAACCATGATCATGTGAGCAGACTGTATAAGATATTTTCTTTTTAGTCCTGTTGGAAAAGAGAGGGTCAGTGGGAGAATGCACCTGCCTGGGGGGGGGTGATATTACATTGTGAGTTGAAGACTGACTGTCACCTGCACTATTATCTATGTGACAAAGAGAAACTGCCAACCAGTGGGCTAAATGTTACACCGATGCTAGTTGCTGAATAATCAAAGCTTCATGGGTTTGTACCATCTCACAGGCTTGTGTGTGGTATGTGCATGTGTGTGTGTTCTCTCTCTCTCTCTCTCTTTCTCTCCATTCTGGTGGATCTAATGTATGCTACTACTTCTACACCTGACAATGTCTGTTTGGCAGAACCTACCAGAGGAGGTTGGTTGGTGCCTGCCTACCTACTTGTCTGGTCCGGTCCAGTCTGGTCAAATGCCTGCACAGAGCCTTGTGCTGTTTATTTTTTCCTCTCTTTCTCTTTTTTCTCTTTCTCTCTCACGACTGGCATGGATGGACTGTACATGTCCCTCCCTTTTACCCCACTTCCTCTCTCTGTGCGCCCTCCTTGCACCGCCACCTTTCCATTCTGCTAATGACTGGAGTTCTCCGCCGTCCTCCTGGGATCCCTCAGACTGCTCCATGTCTGTGTCCCTTTATGAGTGTCTGAGGCACAGATAGACGAGTTGGGAAAGTGGAACGAGGCCGGATGCACCGGGTATTTGTTAGAGAGAGACGGAGAACAAACAAGGAAGGACTGAAAGAGGAAAATGGGGTGAATTGGGGCAGAGGGAGGGTTGGAGGTTTCAAGGGAAACAAAAGGTGCCGTACTGTCGTTAGAGGAAAGAACTGGCTGTATTCTGCATGTGCTATCAGCTTTTCACTGTGGTCTCCTCTCATGCAGTTGCAGCATACTTAGAAACATACTATACATGCTGTAGGTACACCCTGTTTGACAGACTGTCAGACTCGGTCTCTCTCCCTACCCCCTTTTACTCTGAATCTACTGCGATTTATTTATTTATTTTTCCAATTGCCTGATTGCTGATGTCTGTGGCCTGTGACACTGTACTGAGTGGTCACAGTGTCAGTGGTGGTGTTCTGGTTTGAACTAGTACTGGTGATTTCTTTCTATGTTGTGGTTATTTCCCTGCCTTGCTGACATCGAAGACCTGTCTCAAATATAAGAGAAAATCCTTTCAGTTCCTTTGTGGTGTTTGCTTGAGCTTGCCCTTCCTGCAGTGCTGGGCTGTCGGCGTTTAGCCCAGCTGACGGTCAGCCAAGTTCAATCAATCATAAATTAAAAAAAGGAAACAAAGCAGATGGATTTAAATTACTATTTGAGCATGGCCTGGTTATTAGTGACTGTGAAATTACCATCTGAGCATGGCCTGGTTATTAGTGACCGTGTGTGTTTTTCCTGATTCTTCCTCTCTTTTGCTCGCTTTTCAGCCTGGGTGGGAAGAAAGAGTTCACACAGATGGACGCACCTTCTACATCGACCACAGTAAGACGACTGTCATTCTGTTTCCATGCTTGTATTTGGTCATTCTTTATCTGCCTTTCTCTTTTTAGCATCTGTACTTTTTATAGCACGTGGCAGTGCGGCCGCAACCGCAGATTTTTCAGCGTCAGCAAAGCAGCTCATCCATTCTGGCTTTATGTAGTGCAGCAGTGCCACTTAACTGAATAAAGTGGAAGAGCAAGGCAGATGATCAGAGTCTTGAATTAATTTCACTACATTTCTGTATGCCTTGATGGAGATTGTTAATTATATACAGTAATATTAATGGTTTTAGTTCTTGATGAGTTTTTTCTTTAGTTCATAAGATGGTGAGAACATGGGCCTTACACGTCTCAGAGCCCAAAGTCTTTGTGAGAAGTTGAAACCAGCTAATTCTTTAGACAATTGCTTAACGGTTAACTGATTAGAAGCATTGATTTATTTTCTGTGACAAAACAAATCCATTAATGAACTCATCATTTCTGCACTAGATATCCTGGTGAATCCTGCTCACATGCTCTTTGTGTTTTGTTTCTTTCAGATACAAAGAACACACAGTGGGAGGATCCTCGCCTGCAAAGCCCAGCTATCACAGGACCTGTGAGTCGTTGCCTCCTACCACCCTGCTTATTCTGAGGGATTCTGCCACTGTAGTTCTATCTGTCGCACACTATCCGTGCTGCTTTGCACAACAGTACACCACTTTGTCACCACAGTTGTCACTTAACATGCCAACGCCTTCCTGTCATTCTGTGTACCACTTCAGATAATGTTCTCCCTTGCTGCCGTCGCTCCTCGCCAAGTTACACTCATGTCGTTTTTGTTGTTTTAATAAGAAATGGAAACACATTTAGTTTTCCTACTAAAACCTTTACATCACAGGCAAAGTGTCCGAAGGGCATTGATCAGTTTTACCTCCCATGTGTGTTGTTTGTTGTCTGTGCAGGCTGTTCCCTACTCCCGAGAGTTCAAACAGAAATATGACTACTTTAGGAAGAAATTGAAGAAACCGGTAAGAACGGATTTAAAATACAGATGCATCTTGGGTTTCAGGCTTCACACTGGGAAACCTTTGCATAACAATACCACGGCAAAGCTACATTTTCTCAAGCCGACGGCTCCCCCTTGCGCATGAGGGCGGTCCAAATTATGTCTGTTTTGATTATGTTCGATTGGATACTTATTCAGCTTTCTTGATGCCGTGTGAGTTTGTTTATGATAAATATTAATTGCAATCATTTCACATTTCTTTGTGAATATCACTTTGTAGATAGAGTACAAATTGCATGTTCCTGTCCTTTGTCTGTTTTCTAATGTTTGAATCTAAGAAGCCAGTTTTATTTTGCGAACTCTTCCAGGCAGACATCCCCAACCGATTTGAGATGAAGCTGCACAGGAACAACATCTTTGAAGAGTCGTACCGTCGAATCATGTCCCTGAAGAGGCCGGATGTTCTGAAGGCACGGCTGTGGATCGAGTTCGAGTCGGAGAAAGGACTGGACTACGGTGGTGTGGCTAGAGAGTGGTTCTTCCTCTTATCCAAGGAGATGTTTAATCCCTACTATGGCCTGTTTGAATACTCTGCCACGTAAGTCTTTGCTTCTTTGTGTGTGGTTGCTTTAGAGTTACAGAGCTGCCTCTGCCTGAGGAGAAGTTTGAACCATTGAGGTGTTGAACACGATATGACACAGGTGTTATTCAAAGCTGATGAAAAAAAAAATCCTTTACTGATGTATTTTTGAATGGCTTTTTCCACAAAGTGTGTAAGGTTTCCTTTCACTCGGACTAATGTCTCCACTCCTTCTAAATGGAATAAATGTTTTCCACATACACGACATGTCAACATAGAAAGTGTCTTATGTTTGGTGCTTTTGTTGGCACCAGACTTGGTTGATATTCTCTTAGTTTTGTCATGTAGGGCAAACGTAACAAGAAATAAATAACACAAATGGAGCGATTGAAAAGTCAAGGAAACTAAAAATTTGCTTGATTTAATACAAAATATAATTATAGGCACGTCGTGATTATTCATCACAGCAACTTTTTTTTTTTTTAATTAGTCCTTTCATCGCCATGTAACTGCATGTAATGAAAATTGTTTTGCAATATGGGATGTAAGATGTCCCCAAAACAGCGGCAGCGTCTCTGTGAATCATGCAGGATTTTCTTGCCATGGTAAAATAAAGAAAAATGTGACATGCTATACCTTAAGATTTATTAACCACAGCTACAGGATATCATGAATAAGAAATAAATCAATAACTGTCTGGAGCACGGCCATTTGCTATGGAATCAAGATTATTTCTATGAAGGCATTAATGTTTGTTTGTTTGTTTTTTAAATATTATAATTGTAATATCCTGCACCAACTTTCCTCTTTTCATAGATTAGGGCTACAAATAGAAATTTCATTTGAGATATATTTATTTACCTGTTTTAAGGTTTACATATATGACTGCACTAGCATTACTGAATTGCTGACTTTCCTCCACTGTGTCTGTCCAGGGACAACTACACTCTCCAAATCAATCCCAACTCTGGCCTCTGCAATGAGGATCATCTTTCCTATTTCAAGTTCATTGGACGTGTAGCAGGACAGGAATGGCTGTGTTTCATGGAAAACTACTGGATGGTAAGCTGCTAAATGTTGGATCTTGTCTTTGATAAATGTACTGGAGAAAAAAGAAATCCCAAATCTTGTTAATATATTACTGTATTTTCAAGTTCCTCATGTCTGAGAACATGTTTTACATTTTTTAAACTCTTTTGCAAACACTATTACAGCACAATGTTCAATCTTCTTCTTTTTCAGGTTTTTTCATTCGACCCTTTTACAAAATGATGCTGGGAAAACAAATCTCTCTTAAAGACATGGAGTCTGTGGTAAGAGCCAAGACAGAAACCCTGCAATCTCACAAATAAAATCCAATGAATGAGTTAATGTCCTTTGAGTCTAATGTTTCTCTGCCCTGCAGGACAGTGAATACTACAACTCTCTGAAGTGGATTCTGGAAAATGATCCCACTGAGCTGGACCTGAGGTTCTGTATTGATGAGGACAACTTTGGACAGGTGCGCAAGGCTGAATGAGTTGAAATCTTAGTTTTAATTGCAATAAAGTAAAACCGCTGGATATCATATCATATTTCCTGACCTTTATTTTCCTTGTCGTCGTCCCCCAGACATACCAGGTCGACCTGAAGCCCAGTGGCTCTGACATGGTGGTCACCAATGAGAACAAAAAGGAATACATCGAGTAAGGAATATAAATTCAACTTGTTTATAATTATGTGGCCTTTTAACAGCAGTTATTATAAAAAAAAACCATCATGAAACATTGAGCTAAAACTGTTCATTTTATCACTAATCTCTCCGACAGTCTGGTCATCCAGTGGAGGTTTGTCAGTCGGGTCCAGAAGCAGATGAACGCCTTCCTGGAGGTATTTATCTGCAATAATACTGTCACCACATGGGGGCAGTGTGACCACAGACTTCGTGCTGGCCTTTGTACCCCCAGTTAAATCTACCTTCATTAACAATGCTTTCAGAATGTTGAGTATTTTGTGAATTCCTTGAATTGTACTTTCATTAGAAATATGTTGTAATCTCTTCTTTCTTTCATTTCCAGGGCTTCACTGAGCTCATTCTCATAGATCTGATCAAGATCTTTGATGAAAATGAACTGGAGGTATGGTTGCCTTGTTAGTAGAGCTGAAATGACTCGTCAGTAAATTATTGATTGACAGAAACTGAATCTGCAGAAACTATTGACTGTTCATTAGTTTTTTAAGTAAAAGGACCAAAGATTCAGTGGTTACAGCTTCTCAAATGTAGCAAACTGTGACTTTTAAACTCTTACTCAAACACAACAAACCATGTCTTCTTGGACTCTGGGAAACTGATGAACATTGTTCAACTGTTATCTGATGTTATATTGACCCGCTGATTAGTTGAGAAAAACACTGGCAGTCCTTTAAAATGACAACACTCATTAGTCACTGTGATATTTAAAGCGTGAAATTCCGTCTCTGCTAAGAAGTAACAATAACAGTAAATGCTGTCGTTCTCTTCCGTCTCTGTGCAGCTGCTTATGTGCGGCCTGGGGGATGTAGATGTGAACGACTGGAGACAACACACTGTTTACAAGAACGGCTACTGTCCCAACCATCCAGTCATACAGTGGTTTTGGAAGGTATGTCTGTTAATACAGACACAAGTATGCATGCATCACACTTTTGTGAATATGTAGTTTAAATTTGCTATATTAAGTCCTTGGAAGCCAGATCTTTCATAATGAAGGTTCGTTCCCAGCTTCACCCGGCTGCGGCAGGTTAGCTGGCTTTGCTTTTGAAGATCAAAGTCTGTTTTTGAAGGACAGGCTTGTTTGCTCTGATGAAAGAGCCTGAAGTAGTAGGTGCCCTGGTTATCATCTGTCTTCACCTGAGCTTCAACACACACAGTTTGTGCATGTGTATACACTTACACACACACAGTCATGTCATGTCATCTGATTAAGTGAAATGGCTCAACCAGCTTCTGTTTGAATTGGTACTATCTTCTTTTTTTTTTTACTTTGATTTTTGTTTTTCCTTATGCACAAACTTACACAGGCTATATTGCAAAACTGTGCAAAATCTTTGAATAATTTCATTGTTTTTTCTGTAATGTAATTGTGGCAATGAGACAAACAATTTGATAAATCAGTCTGTAAATCTGAGAGGTGTGATCTTTCCTCTCTTGTCAGGTCGTCCTGTTGATGGATGCTGAGAAGAGGATCCGACTCCTCCAGTTCGTTACAGGAACATCACGAGTGCCAATGAACGGCTTTGCTGAGCTTTATGGTACGTGAGCTCGCCGGACAACTTCCGCTTCCTTTATTCCTGCTTCTATAACAGTATCGGCTCTTTGAAATCTGATACAGCTGCAGGGCCTGAACTTTATGCAACAGTGACACAAAAGTTGTTTTCCCAGAAGAGATCAGTCAACAGTGTTGCTGTTCCAAGAACTGAATTACTGTCACTGCACACACACAGATGTGTGATGTGTAGAACAGGAGCGACAGATGCTAAATGTTACATCAGCCTATAAGGACTAGAAGACTGTTTTATCAAAGTTCAGGCTTTTTGCTATTTTTGTCTCTGAAGATAGTTCATATCACTCAGGCTGTACTGCGTGTTCGGATTGTTGAACCTAAACATCTAAAGTGCCTAAAATTTAAGCACAGTGCTGTATGTACTATAGAGTCATGCACAAGGCTTTAAATTATTTAAAAATAGGTTTTTTAATGTAAGATGTAACAATTACCCACGTGTCCTCCTTCCTCCTGTTGTTGGCAGCAGCACTGACTCAGTCTGTCTAATTGACCCAGCATACAACACACAGCTGAGGTTACATTTGTGGCCTAATAAAAGCACTTCTACATCATCGCTACAGTGTCATCAGAATCATAGCCTCTTCTTTTGTGCCAGGTTCTAATGGTCCGCAGCTGTTCACCATCGAGCAGTGGGGAACACCAGATAAGTTGCCAAGAGCTCACACATGGTATGTCACTACCACACACACACACACACACACACACACACACACATACAAACAACTCCAAGAGGCTGCAGCCATGCTAGCGGCTTTGAGCTAAATGCTACCATGTGCATGCTAACATGACCACAGTGGCAGTGGTCATGTTAGCATGCTAAGCAGGTGTAATGTGCACCATGATCAGCAGGTTAATCTGCTAACATTTGGAAACTGGCAGTAAACTATGCAGCTGAGCCTGACTGGCATGTTACTTTTGGAGGTATTTGGTCATAAACCAAAGAATTGGACAAATTAAAAATGTCACCCACTGGCGCAATTAGGGATCTCCAAAGCTTTAAAGTCAATCCTGAGGACATAAATGCTTGTACAAATTCTGTGCCGGTCTATCTAGTAGATGTTTCAGTAGATCTTTCGCTGCCAAAGTGAAAATGATGACCTGCTGGAGGAGTCAGCAAGGTGTTTAGGAACCAAACTTTCATGGCAGTGTGTTGTGTGCAGTGGAACAGAATACCACATTACCTTTTTAAAATATGTCCATTACATGCTTTCCCTGTCAGTTTCAATCGCTTGGATCTGCCCATCTACGAATCATTTGAGGATCTGAGAGAGAAACTGCTCTTGGCTGTGGAGAACGCACAGGGCTTCGAGGGGGTCGACTAAAACAGCAGCTTCTGCCACCCAGCCAACCAACCAGCCAACCAACCAACCAACCAACCAATAATAATAAAACAAACAAAAAAAAGTCACGGGGATGTCAAACCAGCTGCTGTAGCAGTTCTGTGTCAGCATGTTGTACTGTAATACCTGAGCCACCAAACCCAGCACAGTGGTTTGAGACTGTACAGCGACTTGTCGAGCCAATATGCCTACATCTTTGTACCTTTTCAGTGCAGGTAGGTCACTCCCTAAAGGTGCTGGGGAAAGAAACCTACTATCCACAGGCACGAGCAATGAGCAGTGCGAGCTGGCCCCGATCTGCCTTTTCTTTCCCCTCTGCCCCCATCCTGTGAAAATCTACAGTGCTGGAAAACTTTAATGCATTTCAATAGCTCCTTTACTATAGCTCAGTATTCAAGCACCCTCCAGTGGGAGGGTCCTAGCATGGCCTTAATCTGGCTTCTACATGCACTATTTCTCTCAGAAACTGCAATGGCACTATGATCACAGCTCTCTCAAATCCTTAGACCAACACCAGATTACCTTAGGAATGCTAGCCAGTCACATTTCAGGAAATTGACCACACCCCCTTCGCAAAACCTTGAATATGTTGTGTGATCAGAAATTGTCACTGCAGCCGTTTGTAGAATAATGTTTTGTTTTTTTAACCACTGGTAAAGATTCAAGAATGGGGGATGAAATAATTCCCGAAGTAGTTTTTTTTTAAATAACAATGTTTGAAATCATGGAACAGATTTAGTTTTATTATTATTATTATTATCATTATTAATCATTGATAAAATTCAGCAATACTCAACATATTTGTACTGATGAGCAATGTTGTTTACTATTTTGACAGGTCTATATGACTACATGTGTAACAAAGTGTAAATCTGGTCAGTCTGGGGAATGAATAATCCATATCATTTGTTATGGTGATAGGAAATGTGTTGAAATGGTTTTTATCGTAGAGCTATGAAGGCAGCATGAAACTGTACCTTGTGTTTGACTGCATAGTAATTTGAACATGTAAAGGTTGGGAAGGGAAAACTGAAACTGGGGTTAGTTTCACCGAGACATTGCGATTATATTATTATCCTTATGCCTGTTGCTGTTCATAATGCTGTAAATTGTCCTGAAAAACTGTTTAAGTTCTTTCATGATATATAAATATATGTATGTATTACATTTAACAGAAGTATTACTGATCAACAACACTAAGATGAAGCTGTATGTGTGCATGCGAGTGTGAGAGAAAAGCTGTGATTGGCACTGAATATAAAGCAGCACATTTCTTACTAAGGGGAAAAAATGGTTTTTCTTTTTTACTTTTTTGTTTCCTCTCTCCTTTTTCTAACACCATTTAACCTAAAGGGCACTTTATAGATCACTCTGAGGTCATGTCGCCTGTTGTACGTCTTTTGTCATTAACTTGAATGTGTTTTTTTTTTTCTGCATGCACTAACCAGTGCAATATAAATAGTTTGTAAATCTGGGCTGCTGCTGCTGCTAAGACAGAAAAAGTTGACAGATGTGGAGCAGAAACTTTACATCTTTTAATGTTACCCGTTTTATCTCTTTTGTTCCTTTTCTTCACCTTTTCCTCTCGTTTCTTCTTGTGATCCAACCACTCAAACTGACTCGGTAAAGATTTGTCTCTCTTTTTAAGAGTTTTTTATTTTTTATTTTTTATGAATGACATGAAATATCACATTTGTTAAAGATTCCACCCCTCTTTTCAACTCTGTGGTTCATTTAATTTCAGTCAAATAAAAATGGAACTTCTCAGTGTGTTGTTTGAGTTCATTGAGACTGGACCTTTTCCTTTAGTCATACTCAAAGTAGAAATTAGACGCTTTGTGAAAACCTGGTGAACTATGGAGAAAAATAATTAATAAATAACCACAAACCCTGTTATTAGTCTGTTCTACTGATGCAGAGTAAGTACATTTGATTAAGTGTGGTGTTTACGATACTTTGTCTCCTTGGTACTTTTTCTATTTAAGTACATTTTGCTGTTAATACTTAAGATTTCAAATCCTAAATTTACTAGCAACAGAGAGGCTGAAGTGGTTGTGATTTTAGCTTTACCTCTTCCAAATATATATTTTACTGGAGTTAGAGAGAATCCCGCCAAATGTGTTTGCACGTTCTTCTAAGGTGACCTTTGTGGACATGATTGCTTTGGATTAGCAGCTCTGATTAAGAACCGGAATAGCCCTTTAGGTTTAGTAGCTGTATAGCCAGGAATCTGAACATGCTTTTACTTGTGTCAGCATGTTGTTTCTTTCACAGGAGTTCACAAAGTTTTTTTTAAAAAGGTTGTATTCCCACATGGACAGGTGCTGCAGCTGCTGAGTGAGAGTTTCAGTCCATCCACGTTAGAGATGGATTCTTGAAATCCAGCCAACACATTCAAACACCTGTAGATAAAAATCATTTTTCAAAGCATACAGGGTAAGTGTACCTGAAATTAAATGAATGAGATGAACAACCCTTTCTGTGTGCGTGTGCGTGTGCACATGGTGTGGTGAAGGGACCTCAGTTCATTCACACAGCCAGTCTCGGGAGTTATCAGCTTCAAGGACGAGCAAATAAAAGCCACCCTGCCAGTGCGGGGACATTTTATCAAGCCCTCCTGCGCTTGATCTGGTCACAAACAAACCAGGAGCCAACTCTTCCAAAACACTGCACTCCACTCCATAGTCAAAGGAGAATAAATCTCTCTTGATCTCGCAGCATAATAACACACAAACATATTTCTATGGTTTGCTGTAAAAAAAAAAGATCTTGCTAGTGAAGGTGAGGCCTCACAGTTGGGCTTTTCTGTCAGTGTGTCACGGGTCTCTTCGTCTGTTACGTCACAGCACTGACCTGAATGAAATCCTGACTAGAAGTTAAGCAATACGGTGGACTCAGAGTCGATAGTACTAAGCTTAAACCATTAATGTTCTTGGAATTAATGTTTTCGACTCTAATGCTGTACCTGTCTGGACAAACCTTTAAAATATTTTTCCCAAAGGTTTTTTAAGTTTAATTTTCCCCCTATTGACAAAATGTTTCATTGAGGATCAGTTAGTCATGTAAACGGTGGTTTAATGTTACCTGTGTCCCAGCACTAAAACCTTACTGCAGCTGACACTGATCACTGAGTCAAAGCAATGGTAAAATTCTGCACTATTGTTCTTATTGTTTCTTGTACTTGTCTCCTTTTCATCAATATTGTGACAAAGCAATAGCTTGTAATGCTGGATGACAACTGAAGAGACAGTTAGAGCAGTGTTTTTTTCCTCTGCTTGTACCCACACAGCCGTTACAGATGAATTCAGTAACTACCCCCGCTGACATCATTCATTGTTCCGTGTGTTTAGTGTTCATGCTCTCTCTATTGCAACACATGGAGTTCAGATATTACAGCTGACTCAAAATGTTGATATTAATATGTAAATAATTCGTTTTAAATCAAAGTGGTAAAGTTGGTACTGCTGGTTGGGAACCCTTTGACACAGGGTGAAATCTGAGCACAGTGACACTGTGTGACCTCCAGCTTAAAGGGATGCCGCTTCATAATCTGCATTACAGATAACAGGTTCTACTGTGAAACTAATGCTTGGGGATATACAATACAGTAGTATTTTTAGGCCTACTTATAGTGGATCTAATAAATCTGCTCTGATTAACTACTAAAAACTTAGACATTCCTTGTGTTAAATGTGTCAAGTGCTGTTTTTTAACATCCAGATAAACACGCTGATGATATAACATACTGAATGGATTGAACACATGACAAAAATGTGTTAACTTACTATTGTGTGCAAAGTTTTTGGCCCTCCGCCAAACTTTGCACCGTATTATGCACAGTAAATTTTCCAAATTGTGCCAAGAAGCATCACATATAAAGTCTGTTATGTTCAGCTAAGTGACTTTCAGTGAAACATCAGTTTTAAGGCACTATTGCCTCACCAGAGCAGTTTTTTGGTCCTCCCATCCTCCACCCCTCCCCCTCTACCTCTGGTCAGGGCCGATCAATACTTCCCTTGTAGCTTATCACTAATGTGAAACAGGCTGTTTGTCCAAACTCTGTTCTGTCTACATAAAGACTTGGACTGGACAGCACCAAACCCAAATGCACCACATCAACCCGCAGCTGCGGACACACCACTGGACTTGAACCGTTTGGCGCAGAAAGATTCTGAGATGAAGCCTTGTGTGAAAGGGACTGAACAGAGAACAGAGAGTGGCTTGGAGAAGCAGGAGCAGGAGACCGAGAGTTGGGTATGAATGAATGAATCTGGAAAGAGGATCCACCTTAGAAACCTGAGGTAATTTTGGTTGTTGTCCTGCAATAAGTCTGAGTCTTTCAACAAAGTTTAAGACTTAGTTTTATAAGTAAAGTTGATCAGTTATGTCCAGTGACAAATGTAACAGCAGAACAAATTCTTGGTGCCATTTTCAGCTCAGAAATGTTGCGTGTGTTAAAGGTTGGAGCCATGTTTTTGATCTAGTGTGACATACAGTCATACAATAATTAAGACTTTTCAACCACATTTGGAAAAACTTTTTAAATGTTTGTAATGTAGAAAGCAATGAAGATCACACAGGTGTTCTCTTTGTCGCTGTCTTACACACATGCGCACAGCTGCAGTCATCCCCACAATCAGTACAAAAAAACACATGACCGGACTTTGGACACTCTGGATAAACCTTGAATATTTACTTCACATTTTTTCACTATCTCCCATAATTGTCTTTTCATTCTTATTTTATTTCATCATATTAAAGGGTCCAGGTTTAAAAAGCTGTGTAAATCATAAATTAGTGTGATTTCAGCCTGAGTTTTGAGTTGATCACTGCACCATGTGTACCTTAACAGTATCTGCTTCGATCACTTTTCTTTCTCTTCATTACCCTTCACTGACTCGCCACATCACCAATCTACATTTATCCTTGTTTCACCAGGTTACCCAGACACCAGCTTGTCTTAGAGCCCCCTGTGCCGGCATATCTACAGCAAACGTTGTCCTCCAGAGCTGTGGAGTGTGACAATGGTGTTTGTGTCCTGTATGTCAAACGCCATTATCACACTAAATAGCTACAGTGTGAAAAGGACCTCAGTGTTCCCTCATCTCCTGGTTTGTTTTTCTTATCATGTGTTTGCCTTTTGGTTTGTGTATAATCTTTATTTCAATGAATTCTTTTTGCAGATTTCCACCAGGCAGATGCGAATAGACATATAGTGTGTTGATAGGTTGAGCCTCTAAGTCTGACCAACTTTCTTTTGAGTTTGAAGTTTTAATGTGCTGTTAGAGATCTATTTCTTTTCTGCTTCCCATCACCCCCCTTTTTTTTGGCATTGTCATCATTCAGGCTTTTATCAAAATGTCCATATCTCATTTAAGAAAAAGGTCTGTTGTTTGTGATTGCACAATGGTCTTCATTAATGCAGTTGATATAAATAAACAGTGTGTTTGTGTGTTGCTGTTTCACTTTCCTACAATCCTAAGAATTAATGTTAAGGGAAAATAATTTAGTAAATAAATTTAGCCTCAGCCTAGAAACTATTTGCAGCTGTAGTGGACCGTGTGCACAGGATATGTTGATGTTATTGGGTGCAGTTTCATAATTAACCCAGTCAATAAAATGACAAATCAATGAATTTTCACATTTTTAATGAATACATTCAAACGCATACTTATTTGTGTTTTTTTTTTTATCTCATGAAGAATCAGTAGCTTTACTAAATGAACAAATATTAATAATAAAGTCACATTAGACTGACCAGACTGTAGTTCAGACCAAATAAAGATAGTATCCATTCATACCGTGTCACCAATGACACAGCCTACTTCAAAGACATTTCCCCTAATCAATTAACTTGCTCATTAATTTAATGAAGAAACAGCTTGGAAAAAAATCACAGAAGTAAAAAAACAAGAAAAACCCAGCACTGATCTGTAAAGAGAAACTTTCATACCTCATTAATAAAGTAATGTAAGACATCACAGTTCATTACATGCAAGCTCATCATTCTCAGCACCATTTTCAAATGTGTCAGTTTCCCCCAAACCAATGAAAGTTTCCTCCCTTAGAAACTAAAAATAAAAATCTGTCAAATGGTCTGTATGAGATGAAGCTTATTCTCTTGTGAAACAACTGGTTTTGCAACAGTCTCTATGATGTTGACTCCTTTATTGGAGAAGCAAACCAACCACTCAACTTCACATTTCAGTGACCAAAGAAACCCTCAGTCCAAGATGCTCCTCCCGTTATGTTTTGCCCTTGACTGTTGGCCCAAACGTTTTCTTCTTGGGTGCAACAGAATGTTGGGGATTAGGTTTTGGAGCAGATGCAGGCTTTTTGGCTTTGGGCTGCAGAGATGTGAGGCCCAGGATCTCACAGTATGTGTTACACTGGTGCAAGGCTTTAAACTGGTCAATGAAAGAAGTGGCACAGTTTCCTTTAAACCCCTTATATCTGCAAAGAAATAAATTATTGATGCATTTATTTGCATGTATCAACAACATGCATCCAACATTATTCTAAAAAAAACACAATACTCACCCTTTCTTACAGGTGGCAATGCCTACATCAGTAAGCCTCATTCCCACTCCTGGAAGACACAAACATCAGGTCAGCACAACAATTTGCAGATAAAAGCATTGGGGCTAATATATTTCCATGCATTTAAATCTCAGTTATTCTCCCCTGACCTTGCATGTCAGTAACCAGCAGGTTGCCCTCAGTCTTATGGTAGACCCAGTGCTGGAATGCACAACACTTCTGTCCCGCCTCAGAGTCACGTCTCATCAGGTTGATCTCTTTGCCGTCCTTGACTGAATACTTGACAAAGTTCCCAATCAGCTCTTCCTCCAGTGTGGCATAGGGGATGTCATTGGATGGACGGTGAACCAGGTAGATGGGAATGATCCTGTTGGAAGCATGAAACAATGTCAGACAAAAGAAGCAGAGCGTTACTGCGCATTATGTGTACATCTCATCAGACATGTCACCTACTCTGGGACTTCTCCAAAGGCTTCGACAGACTGAGCTGCATCCGTGTACGCCTTGATGTACTCTCTCGCTGTGTTCTGGACCTGACACTCCTACAGAGCACAAAGGAAATCGCAGTATTTTATCTATCAGTGAATCTCTACATGTGAAAACCAGCAATGTTTTTGTAGCCCATTTCTTTTATTATTCATTGTTATGTTTTGACTCAAATGCAATGGGCAACATGTTGGTTTGTTAGAAACAATATATTGTCCTAGTGTTTACAAGTTATTAATGATATTGATTGTTTCATTCCATTTCCACCATGTTGGGACAGAAAAAGCATGCTGTGACACTTTTATGTACAGTTACGTATGTTGAACCACTGGAGTCCCGTGATGTTCTGACCTCCACAGCCAAGCTAAAGTTCTTCTGAACACGCTCGTCAATGTTCTTGGTCCCGTAGCTGATAGAGTTGTGTACTTTGAGCACGCAGGGGTGTCCTGACAGTAACAGGGGTATCTGACCCGCCTGCAGCTTGGTCCGGTAAGCCCGCCGGTGCATCCCCTCCCCAAAGTGGACCTTCTCAGTGATGATGCTAAGAGGACAGTTCTCTCCAAAGTATTGGTCAGTCAAGAAATCATCTTTGAACATCAATCTAGAACAATGGACATCCTCTTCTTCACCCCCCACCTCTACAGGAGCAGCTGAAAAAGACAAGGGCAGAGGCAATGTGTCACCTGGACTGTAGTTTGAAATCTAAACTGTGTATAGTATAGAGATCACAACTCACATGAGATGGTCTTGGGAGATGGAGGGATGACAATCTCACTGAGGACTGTAAAATAGAGGCACGAAAAATAAAAATGTTTGTAAACTGTGTTGTATACACAATTTTTTTTGTATTTTTATAGTTTACAGTAGGGCTGTCACAATATCAGATCTTCTCTACATGAATACTGTGGACAAACAAATTCATGATATCTACACAAAATCAGAAAAAACAAAATAATGCTATCAGTCAAATTAATCTTTAATACAATGTCTTTTTTTGCCGAATGAATTACACTTAAACCTTGAGTGTAGGGAGGTGGAAAGAGCATCTGTAACCATAACTCAGTTTCTATTTTTAAGTACAGGTTTGGGATTTCATTATCAGAAAATTGTTGTTTTCTTGGGATTTTGTATTTTGTAGAAACTGTTTTCATCAGTACTTTAAACTCTGGATTATTGGGTGGACGTAGTGTCTTGCTCTTGTCTTTTATTTCCTCCAACATGGTTTTGCACAGTAGTAGCTACACACACTGGTAGGGTAATAGCTACCCAGCTGGTTACTGCGTGGTGGTCTTCTTCTTCTTCTTTTTCCATGTTGGGCAGCAGCCAACTTTAAGGAACAATATGTACTTAGAGTGTCAACCACATAGTTTTATTGTGTTATTATTATTGTATTCCTTATATTATCATGTGCGTTTCATTAACATGATATCAAAATTTATATTTTTAAATATCACAGCTATTTGTCAATACCAAGACAGTACATTGCAACACTCCTATGTTGTATACCTTGATATGTTAGCAGGTAGTCCAGGGTGATTGATCCATGTAAGCTGCTGAGCTGACACTGATACTTGCCCAGGTCTTTATGAGAAGCCTTGGAGATGGTGAGTGACACTCTGCTCTCATCCCCTGAGCTTCATAAAGGGGAACAGTGTCACAAAATGCACAGCATCAATCCACAAACCTTTATACAGCCATTGTCTGGATGGAATTTTAAATGATTCTTGCTTGAAAAGAGTTCTTCTAAGGTCAAGGTCACAAAAAAATCACACACAAAAAATTCCCATCTTTAACATGGAGCAAAATAAAAAAAAAAAAGGTTCTGTCCTGGATCTTATTTTTCACAAGTGTGAATAAATGTTGTGCCTTGGCGGCGGTACATGCACATTCTGGGTGCTCTTGTTACGCATTGTGAAACTCTGGGCAAATGAAACTAAATACCTTCTTTTGATCTCAGCCAGGACGGCGCCCTCTTTGCTCCAGGTGACAGTGGATTCACAGAAGACCACTGCAAACTGACACCACAGACACAGACTCTGGGGGTCTCCGCTCACTGACACTGCCTGTATGGGCTGCAGCACCTTGAGGTCTGCAGAAATTATTAGATGCTTTTAATATGAACTGATTGATGTGATGCAAAAGAATAGTCACAAAGCCCGTTTGTGTTGGTGTGTCATAAAAGTTCTAACATATAGCAGAAACATTGTGTTTATGTTTCCTTACCTTCTTTAGGAGGGATTTTCTGCTCAACCACTTCACTGTACGCCTTCTTATGAGTCGCTCCGACCTCTACCTTGGGCTCCTGTCTCTTTGATGGGACACAAGCGTCTACCTTTGTTAGTTTAACCTCCAAAACACTAATGATCTTCTCAAACTTACTTCCTGACAGACGTCGCCTTTTATTAACATCATCCTTCAGAGGACATGTGAAATTTCTTGGCTGATGGCCTTTATGGTCTGTATGATGCAGAAGTTGTCCTCCTTGGGAAGCTTTAGATTGTGGTTGCTGGGACTTTTTCTCAGCAAAACCTGACTGAGCGCTATCTTTTTGAGCTTTCCCAGCTTTAGCTCCCAGCTTGGACTCGAACATTTCAATCCTTCCCTGTGTAGTCTTTGGTTTTGCTCCATTCTCCACTTCAACCAGTGGAGCACTCTTTACCACTGTTGCATTCTGACTGTGTTTCTTTTTCTTTTTGCCATGCGGTTTGCTTGGAGCCTTCTCAGCTGTCACATCAGTCTCAATCACCAATTTATCCTCCTTGTTCTCAAGTCCAGCTGGAATCTTCTCACTGGAATGATTTTCTGGAGTCAGAGCATGGGTTTCTTGCTGTGCGCAGGTCTGCTGGGCTGAAATACGGGGAGATAAACTCTCCTGCTTCTTGGAAGCTTGTGCACCATGATGATGACCACCTGACTTGTCCTTTTTGAAGCGTGTTTTGCTGTCTGAGATGTTCTTGTGAGTTTTGTGAGGCATCTTTTCAGATGTTTTCTGATTCAGCTCAGCCTTCTCAGACTGTGTGTCTGTGCCAATGGGTTTTGCAGCCCTGGAGATAAATGGGTCATTTAACTCTAAAGTGATGACTGCGACACGTTTCTCCTCTGAAATGATGAAATGATCTGCAGGTACAACAGCCACGTTTGATAGCTCTCTACTGAGGTCATTGATCTCCTCAATTATTGTTTTTCTCTCAGTAAAGAGAAACTCAGATGTGGCACCAGTGTGTTTGTATTGTCCCTCTGATGAAGATTTGTCTGCAGAGTCTAGTGTATTTTTCTGTTTATGAATCAGCTCCTCATCACCTTCCAGAGATGGTTTGTCTGTAATCCCATTCGAGGTTGGCCAAAGAGCACAGGGTTGTACATGATCTCTGCTGTTGTTGAGAGACCTTTTGGCACAAGTTTGATCTCCTTCCAAATTACCGACTGTCTGACAGGCAAGGGAGGAGCCAGTGCTGAGAGGAGCTAAGGGCATAATAAACTTAGGACTCCCCCTCTGTGGCTCCACCTGACATGCTCCATCAAAGTCTGGTAAAGTGTCAGGAGACGAGTGAGTGAAAACATTAATATTCCGCCCAGGCTGTGTGTGCACACCTTGTGAGTTTGTCAGAGTGTGTATGGTGAGGAAATGAAGATCTGGTGAAGATTCGGTTACTTCAATATCAACCTCGGCTGGCCCGCAGCTCCTTTTCGCTTCCTGCTCGGTCACTGGGGTCGGCTGGGAGGTACTGTGTTCATCTGTCACTTCACACAGTCCATCTCTAATGCGCTGCTCATCAAAACAGACAAATTATAATACAAAGCGTTAGTGTTATTTTAAGAAATTGTAGATTTCTGAGACATTGTATTGACAAGAATTTCAATCCTCATATTCTTGAGTAAGAAAGTAAGTCAGTTAAAATAACATGCCATTTCAGAGCACACACCTACCTTCCTATAGAGCCGCAAAGCAAATGTTTATGAAACACCATGCTCTTTATCCACTCACAGAGCCCATATGTCCTGCACACAACTGAATCCTACAGTGTAGCTGTTATGGACAGGAGCACAGCGCCTTGCACACTTAAACCAATCAGAAGCAGTCTCGTAGACCCATAGACCTGTTGCTGTCCTGATCCTGGGTTTTTAAAGGCAATGCTTTGGGGCTGGGGGTGTAAAAGGGATGCATATGAAAAGATAGAGAGAGAGCGAGAGAGAGAGAGAGAGAGAGCACTAGGGGTTGTGTTTCAGTCCACAGCTGTGCTCTCCTCTCACCCCTCCACCCTGACATGCCACAAATGCATGCTATTATCATTGAACTCTGCGCTATCATTAGATTCAATTTCTGTCCATCTGAGGTTTCTTCTCAGACACCTTCATTTCCTCCAGCACACACAGCTGTCAGTCTTGGACATGGGAGCCAAAGAACTAATTCATTAATATTAAATGACACCTGCAACAGACAGTTGTTAGTTCTTGAATGCAAAATGAATGAACCCAATATTAAGCAAGGTGCAAATATGCTGGAGTCTTGTGCATCGGCATCTATGGATTTTGCCCTCAGGGTATTCCGAGTCCCTCCTCACTGGCTGTCAGTGCTGTAGGTATGACAGCACTGACAAGGGCAGGAAAGCAGCAAAGGGAATGTCTCTTAGTGTTCTGGCTGTTTCCAAAACACATGACTTATTTATGTTTTCCAGCATGACTGATGTGAAGGTGATCGCTATCAATCTCTATCATGAACGCTGAGTTTTTCTACAGCTCTCTCTCTCTCTCTCTCTCATTATGAGTGTGTGTGTTGTGGACAGGACACGTTTGTATGCTTGGGACCAACACACAGGGAATAAACATTACTGTCCCCATGTTTAGTTGTCAAATACTGTATCTGCTCATATTTCATGCTTAAAGCAGAGCACAAACGTTCCCAAGTTTTATAAGCTGTACAATACAGGAAATAATGAACAGACTAAATTTAAATAATAAGTCATCTTACCTCAGCAGATACTGGCTCTGCGGGTGTATTTTGTCCCTCCAAATGTGTATCCTCTATTATATTCAGAATGACTTGATCTTTGTCATTGTCGAGGAATTTGCCCATTTCTAAGGACTCGACAAAGTGAGAAAGGTCCAGATCACCTGAAGTAGGGATCAGCATAGTCACGGCTGCATCGGATCCTCTTTGAGAGGCCACTTTAGCATTGGATGAACCCAGGGATGAGTTCTGGCGAGTGGGGCATGGAGAGAGCTCTTCCTGGCTGCTCTGGATTTCATCTGCGTCCTTTTCTCCTGGTGTGGTTGAATCACACAAGGATTCCACTTTCCGGGATCCCTCTCTACCCATGGGTGTCTGTGACTGTGCCTGCACCACTGTCTCTTGACTCAGTCCTTCTTTCGAAGTCTCTGTATTTAAATGAGTATTTTCGTCTGCCAGTGCCTGTATTAAAGGATCTAGCTCTGCTCCTATTTCAGTGAAGGCAGCTGTGATGTCCTCTGGTGGAGATGCAATGTTCCCAGCCCAGTCTGAGAGTGCACTTGCCCAGCTGTCCACTGATGACCACCTCTCAACCGGTGGCCCCCAGCCTCTGGTGTCATTGCTGGACCAGCCAATGCTGTCACTATCCTCCGATTTGTGAACTAATACTTGTGTCTGTCCTTGGAGAAGAGATAATTCACTGGTGGCTGAGAGCCCTCCTTCCATCAGAGAGTAGCCCAAAACATCCTTATCTTCTGTATTCTCGTCTGTCAGATACTGGCATGCGTCCAGCCACAGTTCAGAAGTGATGTCACTTTGCAGTGACTGAGGGGTTAAACTGGTGACCTCGATTTTCCCCCCTCTCACGTTGTTTACTGACATAAAGTTCACCTCACAGACATCAGCAGGTGGTCTTATCACTGGGTGTTGGATCATGTCTGACTCATAGTCCATCATAACTTGATCCTGAGTTGAGCCATGATGACATGGTGTCAACACGTCTGCTGAATCGCACATCAAGGTATGTGTATCACAATCTACACAAGCACCTTTGTTCTCTGTTTGTAATAATGGTTGGTATTCAGGACAGTTAATCTCCTGTGGATCTACATTAACATTTAGGATTAAGTCTTGTGGCTCACTTTCAAAAATATAAAGGTCCAACACAGGTGTGATCGCTGTATCACTCTCTAAACTACTGGAGAGAGGCTCAGTGGCAGATGGTTCCATTAAACCTTCAGAAATAGACAACATGGCACCAAAAGGTTGTTTACTGTAAATCTGTAGCTCATGAGAGAAGTGAGGTACAAGAGGTAATTTAGTTTCTGATGAGTCAAAACAGCCATGAACCCTGAAATCATCATCCTTTGGTACAAACTCTGAGTGAGGTGAAAAACATTCTGATATATTATAGCTGGATGAGGAAGGCGTTAAACAGTCTGAGTCTCTGCTTTTCTCCTGAGAGACGAGGCATTTGGAAACATTTGATAAAGGCTCAGTGGATCCGTCACTGGCACATGAAACATCTGAGACAGCTGCGGTTCCTGTAGCAGACATTATGTTTTTCTGGAGGACTGTGCAAAAGAGAAGGAGTGTTTAAATCCCCTGTTTGACTGTGTGTGAGAACTGGTGGTGAGTGTGTTTGGTCATCTCTGCAAAGGAGTGGCAGATCCACTGGGACTTCTGGCTGTGCTGCTGAAGAGATTGTCAGCACTGGCTGTCAAACCACAACTTCATGCCGAGTTATGGGATGAATTTCTGTACACAGTGACACATTGTTTGTGTCTGGTTCTTCTGGTGTTAGTTCCTTCCCTGGGTCTGACTACACCTTGCTTTTTGACATTCAGCACCTCCAAAATGAAGCATGACGTTACCAGAGAGTGAAAATATTTTACAACAAAGTTGTAAAATTAGAAAAGAAACAGTCAAATGACCTCTTATCTGAGGGTCTGCTCTTTGATTTAATGTACTTGAGGCAAGGCCCTTTGTCTCCTTCACACACTCTGTGCCATCTTTATCTTAGTTGCAGAAAACAGCATGCTACATTGATTTTAGAAGCTTTTAAAGGACACTTGACATACCTTATCAAGGGGAACCCCTCCTGCTGTTGTAAGTTTATGGCTGATAAAATGTCAGGCAATCTGACATAGTGCATGTGCAGAGGCCTGATATAAAGTGTTGAAGGGGAGGCTTCAAAACATGCACCCTGATATACAAAATTGCAGAAGGGCAGGTGGTGGCACAGACACTGGAAACATACCAGTATATCTTCACCCATGACCTGTATTTGTCACATTCCTACTACAGTGAATCACACCTAGCTGAGTCCTCAAGCCTGAAATGTTTACTGTGAAATACAAAGCATGATTTTAGTAACTATATTGACAAACACACTGGATGTAAACACAGTTTTAACATTGCTATAAATATAAAAGCACAGACAATGCTGATTTTAGAATTAAAAGTCAGGGTGAAGTTTGTTGTTCCTTTTCCAAATGTACTTTGTCAACATAAATCAGCTCGTAACATCCAGTAGTAAATGTGAATATGCACCATTTGAAATGCATGTGGGCATGTGGGAGTTTTATATTGAACAGAAATCAATCTGGTTGATCAGTGCATCAGAGAGGCCTTGATCTCTACTGACACGGAAAAACAATAAACCTGTCAGCACTGAGTGACTGAGACCAAGAAAGTGTAATTGGATTTTATTTTGCCTGTGCCAAAATAGCTTCACCCTTGACCACACAAATCCCTAAGAGCCTGCTGCATCTTGAAAGCTTCTCCTTGTGAAAGACGTGAGCTCAACAAACTACTAAGTTAATTTGAACACACTTTTCAAAATAATGACACAAGCTGCCTCAAAACGTATGGCAGCCATAAATGAGCAGAGAGGTGAAAACTCAACCGATGTTCATCAAAATTGATTGCATTTGTAAATCACTTCAAGGAGTTAGTTCTGTTGCTTGACTTAGTGTATCATGTGTGTCAAGCAGCACACGAAAGCAGTGTTGTAGCAGAGCATGTAGTATAATTGGCAACATAGCGTTCTCAGGTCAAAACCACAAATAAATGTCTAGCAAATTACATCACAGCTGATTCATACATGATAATAAGTATTATGTGAGGCACTAAAACAGTTGTCTAGTTTGTAAAGGGGTTTTCCAGCCATGCGAGCAGTACATACCGTTTTCATTGCCGTGTTGTTGAGGATATAGACATATGATGTAAAACTTCAGTATGAGCTGTAGCAGCGTTCAGGCTGTGCCTATTTTTAACTGTTGTCCCCACCAAGTACAAAGTCTGTTACCTGATAGTGCAGACATGTGCCGATCTTGAACATTTAACACCCGATATCCATATTTACAGGCTCATTAAGTGATGTCCTACTTTACAGACTGTTACAAAACTTGTGGGTGTAGTTCTTGCAATATATGAATAAAGCTAAATCTCCTTTTCTTATTAAAATGTGTTTACACTGCACCTGTGACAGTGAGAGTCACGTTTCTGGCAAAGCCAGCATCCCTCTGACTACTCTGGCAAAGCAAAAGTGTTCTGTTGTCAGTGACCAAAACATTTTAATGAGGCCAGACGTCTTCTGCTTCATGGAAAATTAAAAGTAGTCAGTTAGCTCATGTGGCACGACAGTGATTTAGTATGACCTTGTCTCTTATTTGTCTTATTTGTCATCTCATAAGCACTGAACACATGCTAAACTGTAATAACATAAATAGGAGGCCAGTTATCGATAATTTGAATGAACCGATATTTTTCATTTAGTTGGAAAGTGATGATGTTAGTCATGATGGCCTGCATGTCTCCTCTATAAAACAATGATGTTTTTATTTGCCAAGTGTTCTGCCAAGCTCTTCTTATCCTGCAGCACTGTATACTCCTCACAGTCGAACTGCAGGTAAATTCTCTGTACATCCGTCAGAAGACTAAACTAGACAAGAACAGTTTTATAATGAGTAATTTATGGTTGTTTTGTTGCCTGGATGACAGGTGAAGGGAGTGCACACTATTAGTGCTTTAAAATCAACATATTGTAAACAACAAAAACCCTCTAGAATAAAACAGTGTTGCCCCAATGTTTAAATTTTTTTTTTTAAGTTTTAATTCATTTAAAAAATTGACTTTGTATGACTGCGACTATTTTTAGCTACTGCATCTCTGAGAACACTGATACCCCTACAACTACTTTGGCAAATCAGTGTGTGAGGTCACAATTGTTTCTCTCTGTGTGTGTATTAGAAGTTAGTAATGTGTTTTATGAATGAAACCCCCACGTGCACACGCTCAACTAAGAGCTTCATTTGTCGTTACACGTTTAATAAACAGAAGAAGATGAGGACATAAACCATTAAAGTTATGTCATGTCCTTTTAGTCTTCATGCCATTATGTTAACGCTTGTGTCTGCACACTCGTTCTTGTGGTGCCTTGTAAGCCTACTATGCACCAGAGGAAATAATACTGGATTGTTGGTGCCTTTAACAAACCTGGGATGAAGTTCTGTGGCTTCACACTTAAGGTCTCTGGAAGTAACAACCGATGGTGAGTGAACTGCTGGGCAGCAAATCATGTGTACAGAGATTCACTGCGTAACATTCATTCATTGCCATTCTTCAGCAGGGGTTAAACAGTGCATGTTACATCTTTTAAATGCAGGTAAATAACACAGAATTATACAGTAGAAAGTGTATCTGGCAGCAACACTAATGACAGTAACTCAGACAGATTCAATATTTACTGTAGTTAAATGTAAGCGTGCTAATTTTATCTTTAATAACTGGAGCTTCCGTTATGCTCTGACTTGCATCTATATACTGCTCTATTTTAGAAGAAGGTAGGGCTTCTCGACCAGCACAGTCAACACGTAGCTTACTATCAGTGTCAGAACCAGGTGACCAAGGAACAGATACATCTAAAGTAGAGAGGAGACATACAGTAGATTAAATTAAAGGGTGTAGAGTTACACAGGCAAATCCTGGTAAAATCTAAAAAGACTCAGCAGTAGGATTGATGAAACTGAATGAAATGGGCTGTTTGAAGCACTTACAAAGTTGATGTCTGTGTAATGGATCGGGGTCTCTTGTAAACCAATATAGAGAACAATGAAGATAGGGTGCGTCAGATAGCAAGCGAAACTAATGTTGGAGAGTGGAACCCAGAATCCCAGTGATAAGAAGCTCTTGATAAAACCTGGAGAATAAGAAGAGAAAGAAGCACAGAAAAAGCATGGCACAGATTTACTTTACTGTAAATATATATTATTTCTTTCTTGCATAAACTAACTCACATATCACTGAAGAAATATTCATACATGCTGCTACGTGTATTTGTACCCAATTTACTTTTAGTATATTATGAGGCTTAAACAATAAATGCATAGTTTAAAAGTAAAAACAAAATCCAGTACAGTATGTTTTCTTCATTTACCATTGCTATTACTGAAGCAGAAACCATTAAATGGCAAGTTACTGGTAACTGATATTGCAGTGAAGTCAATAATCAGTCAGCAAAGATAGTGAAGACTTTTGAATGTAGCAGAAACAAATACTTGAACAGTTATTTAAATGTTTTATTTTCATTTTGTTTGTTAAGAATATAGTGTGTGGACTCTGGAATATCTGGCTTTGATTCACCTCCATAACCCTCCTCACAGGCCAGTATGATCCAGGTAATAGCCAGAGCCCACAGCGATCTATGCAATCCCTGATAGAGGGCATGTGGGACAGATGAATAGGCTGGGGTCTCCTTGAGGACATAGGCCAATCCAACCAGCACAGCCATGAGTGAAAGACAGCAGAACCAACCAAGCGCTACCTGCCACTGGACCAAAAGTAAGGCAGTCAGTATGATGGCAGCTACACTAGTTGGCTCAGTCACAAAAGAGCAAATGATATGTCCTAATATCAGCTAAAAGAATAGGCTGTGTGTAGTGATTCTCATAAAGATGTCTGTTACTCTAATCAGATGCTGTTACCTTTTGCTTTAAGAGCTGGCCTTTCTTTGTCATCAAGTACATTCCAGTCAAGATCCCTAATAAAAATGGCCCATATCTTGTGTAGGGTTTCACATAGTAATATGAGGCATAATTCTCAGATGTTCTGCAAAACAAACAAACAAACAAACAAACAAACAAACAAAACAATTGGAATGGCTAGTTATCCTTTACTCCCTTTTTTTACTATGTAAAAACAAAAAGTACAAAGTAAAGAAAATTAATAGACCATCATCGCTGTCTTACAGTGTAGATGGCTGAAAGACTGGCAGATGTAGGAGTGCAGTTGTAACAGCACCAGTAGCAGTGGTCATCAACAGGAGGCCTCCTGCCACAGCCACAAACACACCTTTGTTCCTGGTGAAAAAAAGACAGAATGGATAAGATTGCAGCTGTGTAATGGCCCCAGCAGTGGCTATTATACACAGTTTAGAGATATTTTAGAACAATATGAAAAGACAGTGGACATACAATCTGTAAAAATAGAGCAACAGAGGAGTGGTGGCATAACACTGGAAGTCCAGAGACAAGTACCATGTCCAAGGAATACACTGGAGAGAGATTGGGAAATGAAATATTAAGATCTGCAGTAGGTCAATATACATAAAAAATGTATATGTCAGAGATAGAATCAGAGCTACTATATTAAACGTACTATCTCATGAACTGGAAGGAGATTGCTAATCAATAGCAAGTTAGCCCACCAGTATGTCTTACAGTCCATCAGTGTCTCTAGGAATGGGAACCAGTAGGGTCCCCACTGGACCAGAGAGAGGAGGCTAATGGTTAGACACATAATGAACAGATGCAGCGGCTGAACCCTGCAGTGAAGGATAAATAAACAGGAACACAAAGAGGAACACATTTAGCTTGCCACTGAGATGACATTTATAATGAAGGACTTTGTAATTCTGATTTATTAAGAAGAAAAAAAATAACACAGTGATACAGATTGATTACCATACCTTAATTTGGTAACTTGATCAGTATACAGTACCTTTTAATTCTCTTGAAGAGGTAGCTGGCCACCAGACTGGGGCTCAGTTTGCCTTCAGCCCTGTCAATGGAGCCCAGCAGAGACCTGGCGCTAAGCAGACCTCTGAAACACAGAAGCTGCTATAAAAGTCTAGATAAAATATGTTTTTACACATTATATACACCATTCTTGTTTCAGTCTCACCCAAGCAGTAAGAAGGTGTCTACAGCGAGAAAAGCAGGTCCACTGAAGGTAAACACATACAGAGGGCTGCTTTCTACCGCATTCTTCCAGTCATTGAAGTTATCTAAAATTAAAATAAACCAGTAAAATGATGAGCAAGTAAGTGAGTGACTTGCAGACCGAATGACCAAGTACCGGTGAATCTTGGTAGGCACGTATACAATAATTTTCTCATACCCAAGCTATTCATTACAGAGAACTGTGCAGAGTGACCACATATGATCCATAAAAGGCTGAGAACACGGATGCCATTGACAGAGGAGAAGCCTCCTCCTGGGTTGGATGAGGAGCTGCTGAAGACACCTTGGCTGGTAGTCTGTAGCGAGAACGCCTGCAGCCACTGGTACATGCAGCTTTGAGGAAAACACAGTGGTGTGTGCCTGTCTATGAAAAAACAAGTAAATCTATTTAAAAAAAAGGTTTGGCTACTGCACCAGTTCAGTGCTAGTGAAATTCTTTGAAAGCTCACATTGTTTTGATATTTATTGAAAATGTAGCAATGCTGTCATATAACCTGCATATTTTAAGTTTATTTATGCAGACTATACTGTCAGTTGTTTCAGTGTTATTATGCATCATCTGGTAAAGTTTCTCTGCAGTTGCACTAAAACACACAATGCGTGTTGTACTTACTGTTGTCCTCCCCAGTGCTATTAGTCATTTCACTGCTAGAGGAGCCATTGTTTTTCAGGGTTCCATAAAGACTGAGGCCAGTATTTAAACAGGACTCTACAGATGGACTGACCTCCCTGTTCCTCTGCCACCTTAATACAGCTGTCAACAAGGTTGCTGCAAGAGGAAGTGCTACCATTACACAACACACAAACCTGCAGGAAAAAAAGGTATTTGTTTTAGAGGTAGAGTGACTGTTGTCAACTTTCTGAAAGAGAAACAGAGTAAGATGTAGATGATGACAGCAAAGAGGGTAGACGTCAAATCATATACTGACAGGCAGGTGACATCTGATGCATTGGGAGCAACAGTGGTGGACATACAGTGGGTCATGATAATCTCCTGAGTGGACTCATTGACCAGGATGGGAGGTAAAGGAGGAATGAGAGGCGTCTGACCAAACCGAAGTCTCCCTGTTAGTAGGTGACAACAGTCACAAGTAAAACAACATCAGTATTGGACTGACTGAGCAGTGTTGCAGAGAATAGAGAATTTAAAATCACTGACCGTACTGCACCAACATTTGCACATCCTCTTCTCCACAGGAGTCAGGAACACAGATACCCACAAAGTACTGGACTGTTCCCTATTGTAATAAAAAACACTTCAAGATCTTCTTTTTGTCACTTAGTAGCCAAATGTGAGGATGACATTTTGTTTTCTGTAATTACAATTTGTGTCTTGTTTTACCTGCCTAATGAACACCTGACAGTACTGTCCGGAGAAGGTGGGACCATGCGCAGAGTGACACTGCTGCAGCAAGCCCGGCTGGTTGGTGTTACCTCCTTCGACATTACTACCCATCTTTCCAAATGCATCATACACTGACAGTAAGCACACACATGCAATTTAGTTAAAAGAACAAAACAGTTTTTGAGTCAAACAAAATTTGGCCAGCAGATGTCACCATGTTTGACTGTGGCATTGATTATTATTTTTCAGTTCCAGAATCTTAGATTTCTAAAATAACAGCTGGTTAATTGGTGTGCCAGTCCATATTTATATTGTTCATAACATAGGCCTAAATACCAGCAATCCTTTTAGAATGATGAAATTATGTAAACTAATTAGTTATTTAACAATAAATTTAATTACTATTTTATTTTAAAAAATCTTTTCTCTAATTAAGACACATCAAACTGACTGATGCTGTTCAATAATCTAATACTCTAATCCACTGTTATAGCGCTAAAAATAATGAAAATAGTTTTCTAGTGCTAAAGAGGCTTCGTCCGGTCACGTGACAAAGCCCTCGCGCGTGGTGGCGGACCCTCGTGCGTTTCCTCATTCTTTGGCTACAAGGTGTCAAACAATCACGTTGTGACGTCATGTAAAACGGTTAATAGTCAAATAGCTGGAGGAGAAACTCTGAAAGATGCCCGCATTTTGGAGCCAGTCATATTCTAAACGCACAACAAGCGACATAGTGTTAATATTTAAATGAAACATAGTCTTGATTTTTTCACTTTTGCTGGGTTAGATGGGGAATTGTCATCAAAAAGACGACACAACAAGTGCAGTGGGACATTAAAGTCACCCACGAACTGCTTCAACTCCATGAATGACAGAAGAAACTTCATGTAATGTGAGTCACCTACACCTTCCTGTGTTTGTCCCGTCACTCGCTGTTTTCCTCTGAGTGGTTAAATGTCTCTTCGTGTTATTTGTTTATTTGCTGTGTTGTTGATGTAATAGGAGTCATATAAACAGTCCTGTACCCTGTTTGCGCCGACTGTGTTTTCTCCTATAGGGTTGTGGCATTAATTTAATTAATTTGCATACAGTTTTCTAATCCATTTGTCTGTTATCAGAAAATGCCACTTAGATATTTTATCTCTTTGTTGGCATAAGACATAATTTAGAAATTCTTCAGCGTCTATTGGTTGTTCATTCACCTTTTGTGTGTAATTTTTGAATAACTTCTTCCTGTATTGTTTTTAACGGTGCTTCACAACAACAACAGCAACAACAACAACAACAACAAATTTCTGAAACATGTATATGCATTGTTTCTTGACATGAGTGTGTTGTCTAAAAGTTTACTCAATGAATATTATGTGGTTTGTTGCGTCACATCAAATATTTTATTTAGTCATTTATTTCTTGATATGGCTTGACTTGGCTTTTTTCTGAATGCCACCACAGCTAAAATGAGAGTTTTAAGTGTCAGTTCCAGAATTAATGGAACTTGCATTTCTAAAATAACTGGTCCCAGTCTCAGCCCTGTTGTCTTAATGGGCCAAAATATATGGAAGTAAATAAGCACAGATTTGAGTGTGTAATCTCGGCCATGTGCGCGTTCATTTCTGAAACTGTGCTCTCAGATTTCTGCTCTGAGTTTTGAGTGAAAGTCTGTCAACACCAAAATGTTTTGAAAGCACACACAACAAGTTTCAAGCCCTTTTAAGTTTACAAGTCAGATTTGGAAAGTGTGTAGGCACAGATTTGTAAGAGCAGAAGCAAATCTGAGAGTGAGGGAGGACAGAATCGTGAATTGAACAGGCAGTAGGGATCCTTCCTTGCTCTCAGACCTGATTCTGCTCTTACAAATATGTACCTGCACTCTCTCAAATGCTGAAGTAAAAATGAAATGTTCAAACTATTTGGCAGGGATGTAGTCCCATAACAATTACCACTCCCCCAGACTGTCTGGACACACAGCAACACTTACTGAAAACAGCATATTCCTTTGGCCTGTCCTGGTTAATCTCCCAGAGGAAAGTGCTCGTATCCTCCATACATTGCTGAGAAACAGTTGAGGCTTGTGTACAACTACACTCTGCAAGCAGAAAGAACACTACACAAGCCAGGGCCATTTCAGGACTGACTGCATCTTTTAATGGACCAGGTGTTTAAATAACATGGGAAGGCACAGATCATCATCAAGAAGGTAGCGTGAAATTAATCTCCAATGGGCTGGATTAAAAATTTGCTTTGGCAACTGTTGACCGTCCACACTGGGTTTTCTGTATCAGGTGTGAACAGGGTTTGGTTACACGAGGAAGCTAAGAAAAAATTCCAGGCTTTGTGATTATGTCACCGCATAAAATCATCTTAATTAAAGTGCAAGCAATAGTCTTAAATAACTTCTGCCCTTGTCTGCTCTGATCACTCTGAGAAATGCTGATGATTTGTTTAGGATAGGAGTAAATTTCTTAGCCGGGCTGTACGTTTCTCATTTACAACCATTACATTACTCTGCTGACTTTGTTTTTAATAGAACCACTCATTTCAAGCTAAAATCAGCTCTGGCCACTAGAGGGCGAGCTTAACCTAAACATTGATACAATGAGTAGTTTGATACAGTTGTGGCCTTTTCAGTTTTTGAGGTCATGTTTGAAGAACCACCTGCTTCATTAACATTCTTGGGAAGGCTCCAGTTACAAATCATTAGATCGACATGAGTCATTTTGAACATCTGTAAACTTTGCCTTATACAGAGCATCATATTTGAAAGGAAGGAAAGAAAGGTAGAAATTTTATAATATCTGAAACATTATTTTTTGCCTGTTGCTGGACTTTTTTTTTCCAAGCACAGGAAGTATTACACACCAAATTTTCAAGCATGGATATGGGCATCCGGCATAAAAACACGTGTCAAATGTCACAGCGAATCATCACACTGATTATTCACTGTGGCGACCCCTAATGGGGAAAAAGGCGAAAGTGACATTCATTTATGTGTATCATGTGTTCAGAACTGCCTGCTGTTTGGTCCTGGGAAAGGAGCGTACAGTGGATTGATCAGAGCTTTTCTGGGTTAATGAGAGTGACCAACATTAAAGTCACAGAAACCAATGTGCTAAAAGATGCTAAAAACACTCCATAGTGCTGAGAAAACCATCGTGGTGGGATGGTCATTTTCTGTGGGTCCATTACTGTTAGTGACCCCATTCACATGACACATAATGTAGTCATTTGATCCGATGTTGATATAAAATTATCATTAGTCTTCTTTAGGGTGAGGAAAAGACTGTGGTTTTAATAAAGTATCTATAAAGCAAACAGTGTTTGATTGTTTGTTGCATCTTGTTGCTTTTCTTCTTTTGTCTCTCCTCTATCCACTCACCCCAACCGGTCGAGGCAGAAGGCCGCCCACCAAGAGCCGGGGTCTGTCAGAGGTTTCTTCCGTTAAAGGGAGTTTTTCCTCTCCACTGTCACCAAGTGCTTGCTCAAGGGGGATTTGTTGGGTTTTCCCTATGTAATAATATTGATAACAGTAAGGTCTAGACCTTACTTTGTAAAGTGTCCTGAGATTACTTTTGTTGTGATTTTGGCGCTATACAAATAAAATTTGATTTGATTTGATTGTCGGGCAAACAAATAAATTGTCTTTTTCACCATTTATTTCCAGTTCTGATAAGAAATTTAATTTGGAAGACATTGCATTTCCTTTTTAAATTAATGAATGAATGATGAATGAATGAATATTCAGTTTTCAGTACATTGCAGGACAATTAGATTTCAGAACACCTTTGATCAAACTCTTGCATTTCAGCTTTCATAGTAATAATGCTCCATCACACAAATGCAGCATGTGAGTATGAATGACCACAAGAGGATTTCTGATATATTTCCATAGAGAAGAGCTGATGTCTCATGTGCAGTTGACATCAGATCTTGCTCCTGGCAGGTTTCATCATTTATTGACAAGAACAGCTTTGTACAGAACACAAGCTTCAGAAATATCTAAAAACAGCAGCAGCGAGACACATTCTAATTCACAAATAGTTCACAGACTGAATCTCACATGCGGGTTTATAGAGCGAGACAATTAAAGTCATACTGTTAGAGTAGAAAAGCTACTGTCCAAAACTGAATAATGATGATTTTTAGAAATGCTTGGAATAAAGAAAGCAATGGAAAACAATCTGGAGATAATATTCTCACCACTTTCAATGCTCATTTGACTGAACTGATAGGAATAATTTAGTTTCACAGCAAAGTGATGCACGTAGATGTTCTTTTTTCAGGTTAGCTGATTTTATCAGTGTAATTCCCGTTGATTATCACTTCTTATGATTTTTCATTAAGAAGAAGGGATAATAAACTGAAAAAAGTATGAGAAAGTTAAAGACAGAAGTGATAGTGTTATTAGTTGTGAAATACACAGCCATTACAGTTTTATTTGCATAAACTACTGTATGCTGTAGACTGCTATTAAAAGAGTGACAAGTGCTTTGTGTTGTATATTTTAAAGGTAAATAAACATTTTTATGTGAGTTGTAATCTCAACAAGCTGCCGCTTACAGTATAATTATATTAAGACAGGAATTAAACATCAAGATTACAAATTTTCACAATCTTTTACAAAGTACTTCTTAAAGCAAATTCAAATTTGGCCCATATGTTTGTCTTTAAAATACATTTGTTTCTGGTGTCATTGTTTGGTGTATTCACAAAAGTGGAAGCTTTACACTCATTTAAAATTAATCAAATTTCAAAATTCCTGTTGTAATGTGTGTATTTTAGTAATTGATAATAACCCGACAACATGGTACGGTGATGCACCTGGTATTAGGTTTCACTTTTTACCGATTGTCCTGAAATTTTCAGATATTTCATGTAATATTGGCTTAAAATTAAAGCAGATTTTTGGTTTTAGGATCAACTGTTTCAGCTTGTATTGAAAGAAGACAGGAACCAATGTTTTTTTGTAGCTCTCAACGAGCATTCAGGGAGAAATGGTAGTTTGCCATCAAGTGAAACAATAAAACATTAAGAATGATTGATTCCACTTAACTTGATAGGTGTGACGTGTACTGGGGAAACCTGAGGTTCCCAAAGATTGATATATTTTTCTACCAGACATTCACAGGACATTAGCAGCATTGAAAAATTCTGAACACTGCTGACTGTATGAGGATTAATCCCATTACAACAATATATCCATACATTATTTTGTCCTAGTGAGAGACAACAGTGGAAACGGTGTAAAAAACAAACTTTTCAATAAAAAAAAAAAAACTCAAGGCCTATAGAAACATCTGGGTTCAAAAAACTGTCTTGTTCCATTTACTTAAAGACACATAAAGTGCAGTTGACACATATTACGTAGTGTGTGTATATTGTATACATGTTGTAGTACCCTACTTATACATGTATATACAGCATAACTACAGTCAGGGGAGAGGCTGTGTGTTGTTTGCAACAATTTTAGAAACTGTATAAGTTTAAAACTGTGTTGTTTTAGATGGAATGGTTAGAAAGTGTTTATGTTTATCACTTCTCGGCTGCGCTCAGTCTCTTTGACTTTATGAATGCCATCCCATGTGTCCTCATGTGCGTGTTCAGGTTTCCCTCTGTTTCAAACATCTTCCCACACACTTTGCATTTAGTATTTGGTGTCCCATCATTGTTCTCATCTGTGACATTTAGCTGGTTCTCTCTTTGACTCTCGTCATCATCCTTGCCCCGTCCGTTGTAGCGGGCGAGACCCTGCGGCTCCTTTAGCCGATGAACGATAAAGAGGTGTCGGGCCAGCGAACGGTGGGAGGTGTAGCAGAGACCACACTCCTGACACTGGTAGGACGAGCCGTCTGACTTGTGCTGGGGAATGTGTTTGTGGAAAGCAGTGATGTCCTCTGTGGTGAAGCTGCAGACGGCACACTTGTGAACTTTGAGGATGTTCACCTTGAGCCTCTTCAGAGGCTTTGAGTCTGAGCACCTGAAGTTCAAACCTGGAGACCCCTCATCCTCTTCTGGCTTCCGTTTGGGGCTTGAGATCTGTAGAGATAGGTTAGGGATGACAGGCGAATTAAGATGACATTCACTTGAAAAGTAAAATAGTTGAAAAGGTGGATTTCCTTTTGTTAAATGTGTGTCTGCAGATAAATGCCACAGTACCGTTTCCTTGTCAGGTAAAGCCTCCATATTATCAGAGTTGACAGTCTTCTCTTCTAGCTCTTTGACTCGGTGCATCAGCCGAATGTGCTGATCCAGCAGCACTCTTTTAGTGAATGGCTGACTGAGAGCTGGACAGTGCCTAGCAAAGTACAACAAAAATAACAATTCTAACAGATTTGATCTAATATTATTTGCATATATTGTTATGAACAGTGAATGCATTTGGCCCACAGCTGGGCATGGTGACAAAGCTAGGCCTTCAGTGACGGTGTGTGTACTCACGGGCAGGTGTAGACCTTGCGTAGCCCTTTGTGTTTGAGACGGTTGTGTCGACAAAGACTGTGTGAAGAACTGAAGGACTTTTCGCATTGTCGACACGGGTGCTTCTTTAGTATCTGCAATATGAGAAATAGAATGTGCAAGATGCCTAAAAATGCTTCACCAGCATCAGCTCAAGTGCTCTGTGTGTGTGTGCCCCTGGAAGATTTAAGCTGAATTTTAAAAAGAGCACATGACAAGCTGAAAACCTCCTTATGAGAATGATTTCAAACATTTACCTTTCCATGGTCACGCCTCATGTGAGCCACAAAGGCCTCCCTGGAACTGAAGAGGGCTTTACAGTCTCCGCATGTGTATCCTGAGCGGGGAGGGTTCTTGAGGTCTGCAGAGCAGTTACTGTTGGATTTCTTTAGTGGTGAAGGTGGAGGCTTCTTTTCTCCTTTATCTTGACTATTGATGTTTCCTCCATCTTTGATGCTGTTATTTGTGGGGCTGTTGTTGTTGGTACTGTTAGAATTAGTGGGCTTGGTACTGAGAGGAAGGTTGATGCCCAAGTTTGGTGGACCCACGATGGTCTTCAGGTTTCCATGGATGGCCTAACATGATCCACACATACACATTGAAATAAAAAAAAAACACTGGTATGTTAAATATCTTTAGGCTAAAGGTATTAGTATTAGTCATATGAAATATAAAAATAGCGATGCAGTGTCAAACATACTTAGCATGCCTACAATAACCACTTTTTATTCCTACCTTGATATGGTCCAACATGAGCTGTTTCTGTGCGTAGTGCAGGGAGCAGTCGGGGCATTTGAAAACTGAAACTTTATGATTGACAACGTGTTGGTCGAAGTGTGTGTAGAGCAGGGACTGCAGAGTGAATACAGTATCACACATGGAACATTTATAGATCACCCTGAAAGACAGAAAAAAAAGTCTTTAAAATGCATTGTGAGTTTACTGCATGATGAAATAGAAATTGTTTATAGAAAAGATGTGAAAACTGAAGCAAGTGTTTTTTCTGTCCCAGCTGTTTCTGTACAAGAACAGTGGTGCAAGAGCACCTGCTATTAGACACCTGGTTTATCAGTAGTGCTGATCATGGACAGTATGTAAGTTCTCAGTGTGGAGAAAACAAACCCTGGTTAAGCCACCGTGTCTAACACAGTCCTGCTAATGATGAAGCAGTGAGGGAAATGAATTGGACACACATATTGGATTTCAGTGGTGTGTGCCTGTGTGGAAGTAAAAACGTGTGTTGTGTGTGCTGTCGGCAGTTCTTGTAGGATAAGCTCATCCATTATGTGTGTACTGCATATTATTTTTATTAAAATTTTATATATTGGATTTAATACACATGTGGATTTAACATGATGAAGTTGGTATATAATATTACATACTGTAAACCTTAAACAGATTGGGTTTAGATAAACATTTTATATAAGTTGTGTGTCCACAGTGTTGCTGATAGTTTGTACAGCATGTAAAGACCTACTTGGCTTCTCCTGCCTTCACTCCTGGGTGCTGTGTGTAAGCATGAGAGTGCGTTCCAGGTGCAGACTTGAAGGCCATGGGGCAGAGAGGACATTTATAGAAGATCTCACAGTGAGTACTCTGGATGTGGGATTTTAGAGTTGCAATATCAGCGAAGATCACACTGCAGTGGATGCAGCTGGGGGGAGAAGGCATGTAGAAAACTGAAATTCAAAAGTCAGACTTAAATAAAATATTACCTGACGGAAAATCAGTTTGGCTCATTCCTCTGAGAAGCACTTTGGTGTTTCTAATGTAAGACTTTCATTTGATTGGTGGTGTTACACGGTGCTGCTGCTGCTCACACACTGTCTCTGTGCATGCAATGTTAGTCTTTTCTTAAAGTAGGTATGTTTAGGGAAATGTTGAAATATTCATAGGTTTATATATATATGGACATTCATGATGAATTTCTCATTGTTAATATTGTTTTGGGGAGGAAAAACAATTTCTTAATTTTGTGAAGGTATAGATGTTTTTAGATGTAATGGTTTGTATCTTTGGTAACTGCTCATAAAATTGTGACTTGCTAATTTTCATCATGTAAAGTTTCATCATGAACAATATCACTTTCAATGCACTTGTCAAGCTGAGGCAAACACAATATAAGTGTAATTAGAAATGATATAAGGCATTTAAAAAAAATTAAGTCAGAGTATCACCCTCCATCCATCCATTTTCCTCCGCTTATCCAGGACCGGGTCACAGGGGCAGCAGTCTAAGCAAAGATGCCCAGACTTCCCTCTCTTCAGACACTTCCTCCAGCTCCTCTGGGGGAATGCCAAGGCATTCCCAGGCCAGCCGAGAGACATTGTCCCTCCAGCGTGACCTAGGTCTTCCCCGGGGCCTCCTCCCGGTGGGACATGCCCGGAACATCTCCCTAGGAAGGTGCCCAGGAGGCATCCAATACAGATGCCCGAGCCACCTTAGCTGGCTCCTC